TTAACCAAGGGTGAAGCACAACTTCAACATTGGACGTCAGACAACCAAGCAAAGGTGACACTACATACGTCCGTAGCGGGCTTTACTTGACGCTTTAAAGGACAAAAGCTTCAAAATCCAATTGATTTGCTCTGAGGCAGTGGGCAAAGACCAAAGTACAGGTGACGGCAAAAAAGAGTTCACCCCCCGGGTGCTGATACTGGGGCTACATCTCTTGGTGCTCATGCTGGGATTCGAACTCATGTAATCGTCCGCGCTTAGCCTGTCGTCGAGTAGGCTGGTTGGTGTAGAATTTAATTGTCGATTCACCATAAACCATTCCACCACCCAGCCAGTTTGACCTGACCCATCGACCTAGACGGGCGCCTCCTGGCTGGTGACAGGAATGGACTTGGAGGGGTATATAAAGGCTCTACTGCCGATCAGATGAAATTTTGGGCGCGTATTCGTGGACCTTGAGGGATGATACATTGAGCTCTCGAGCAATGATCTTATGTGGATTTTGCATACCATAGTATTTGTACGGGTATCGGTGACATCTAGACTTTCCAGACCTGATTCCATAGTGTACTCTTTTCCCCCAAAACGCCAGAATAAGGTAATCCAATCGTTACAAAGCTGCGATTGTGACCATACCATCGCACGCTTCAACGAGTCCTCCACAGCAAGAGACCATCCAACAGGCCCCCCCCCCCCTGCATCCATAACCCGAGTCTCTTAATCACCAGTATCAACCTCAAGATCCAGCTGCACACCGTTGCTGACACCATAATCCTCCAGCGTAAGATTGTCCTTGAACGGCCGCTCACCCTGGCGCTTCAGCAAAATCTCGTGCGGCTCCCGTCCGACCCGTTGCGCCACCATAATCTTGAACATCTTGACCGGGTCCGAGGCCAGACAGGGGATCGCGGCCTTGGTACCGAGGCGGTCGTTGACGTGCACGATAATCATCTCCTCGCCGCCGCCCGCAGCCGGCGCGGGTGCAGACTTTTCCTTCTTGGGCTTCGTCGGCGCATCCTTCGAGCTTGAGGCGCTGGCGGTGGGTTTGTTGTCTCTGTCTCTGTCTCTATCTCTATCTCTGCCCGAGTCGCGGGGTCTGTAGTTGTCGTCTCCGCCGCCGCGGCGGTCGTTGCGGCGATCTCTGTCCGAGTCGCGATCGCGGTCGCGACGGGGGGAGCGGGAACGGTTGCGGTAGCCTCGTTCCAGGCCTCTTCGTTCGTTACCGTCGTCGCGGTCGTCTCTGCGGCTCTTGTCTTTCCATCTGAAACCGCCTTGTTTCCGTGGTCTATCTCTGTCTCTGTCTCGATCACGCCGAGGCGAGCGCGATCTTGATCGTGCTCTGTCGGCCATCTCGAGTGGGTTGGTGGGTGGTTGATGGTGGAAGGTTGAAACTGCGAAACCGCAGCGGGAGCTCAGCTTGGTGCCGTGAATTGTGACCTCGCCGCTGGCTCAACCAGGTGCGGCGGGTCAGAATGGCCGCCCCGCAGAAATGATTGGATTACATAAGCCGGAAGACCTTCCTCGAAGCTTCATGGGTGTCTTTTCATCATCATCGAGGAAATCAAGGCACTTGAAATACTCTGCTTTGTATGTATGATTATTGTGAAGTTTTTTATGCCTGGGGAACTTCGACTTCTTGTATTCAGAGTCTATTCTATAGTTTGTAATGCAACCACCTAGTCCCTTTACTCGTCTAGGGCATTGGAGGAAATAGCCGTCACAAGCCTGTTTGACAGACTCTCCAGCATGTCGGTGCCTTGTGAGGATGCCTCAATCTTTGATTCCTCGATTGACTCAAGAATCGTCTTGATGCCAAGACCGATCTTGTCCGACCGAGTGTCATTGCGTATGGACTGGATGACGGTCTGAATGTCGTTGCCACCAAACATTCCTGACTGGTCCAGGACTTGGGCAAGTTCGCGTACATCAGAGATGGCGGGTACCGGAATCTGTCTGCGGAAGTGCTTAAGAACACCCAAGTTGCTGAGTACGAAGCGTTCTGAGGTGGTGACCATGATGAGGATACGACGGCCCTACATTGAGTTAGTAACGATTGATCCATCTAAAAGTAGATGAGCAAGAAGAACTGAAACTGACCTTTGGTGGCTGGGTTTGGATGAGGGAAATGAGTCTGTCGAGCACCGTGTTGGAGAAGCGTGGCCCAATTGGGTTCCACTCAATGAGTTGCTCAAAGTTATCCAAAATTACGATGCTACGCTCAGACTTGTAAGCGTCGGTGAAAACCTTGGTGAGGTAGTCCTTCTTTCCAAACTCGTCTCGGAAAGCAGTCAAGTGCTGAGGCGAAATGAGCTTAACAAAGGGGAAGTCTGAAAGGGAGGCGGTGTGGGCGGCCAAAGCAGTCTTGCCTGACTCCGGGGGCCCGTGAAGAAGGACTGGTATCCTGTTGAGAACATCTGACTCCTTGACTGTGTCGATGTAGCCCTGCATCGTGCGGATAATGGCGGGGATGTTGTTGTTGAACTGGAGGATTCCCATGCCAAGGGCAAACGCCAGCTCGTCTTCAGAAACACCATAAGCCGGCTTGACCTCGGTCAGTGCGTTGTCGAAATCGTCCATGGTGATCTTCATCGCGGATACATCATTCTTCATCTTGGCGCTGTTGCCGACCTCAGTGTGACGGTTGAAGGCGAATGAAGTTGCAGCCTTGACGACACCAGAGATCTCGGCACCAGAGTAGTTCTTGGTGCGAGCTGCCAGTGAGGCCAGGTCAACCTTGGAATCCATAATGTTGTTGTCTCGCATCTTGGCAGTGTGAATCATGAAGATTTCCTTGCGTCCCTCTTCGTTGGGCAAGCTAATCTCCAACTGAACCTCCAAACGACCGGGACGCAGAAGCGCCTCATCGATCATGTCTTTACGGTTGGTCATACCGATGAGCAGGATGTTGTTAAGCTGGTCAACACCGTCGAGCTTGGTGAGAAGCTGGTTAACAACACTGTCACCAACACCAGTGCCGCCACCGGCACCGGAGCCTCTTTGCTTGCAGACAGCATCCAACTCATCGAAAATGATAATATGAAGACCACTCTGGTCGCCCTTCTCCTTATACTCCTTCTCAGCATCCGCAAACATCTTTCGAATGTTCTCTTCAGATTGACCGACAAACTTGTTGAGAACCTCAGGACCGTTGATAATCTTGGGCTCACGAGCGTTGAGCATCTTTCCGATTTGTCTAGCGATAAGCGTCTTTCCGGTTCCAGGGGGGCCAAAGAGCAGGATACCCTTGACGTGCTGAATACCCAGCTTCGCTACCAGCTGGGGAGGGAAGACGCGAGAAGCAAAAGCTCTGCGGAAAATGGTGGCGAATTCGTCCTGGAGACCACCAATACCCATATCCTCAAACTTGAAGTCTGGCGAGATAATGGGGTTGGCGTTACCCTGGTGCTCACCGACCTGAAGTTTCATATCCGACTCGGCGCCCTTGAAGAAGGACAATAGCGTGTTCGTGCTGAAGAATCCGCGGGCAGAAGGGTCTGATGATGTGACGACGGCGTCGGGACCTTTGCCTCCAGCAAAAGTGATGGTCTTGACGGTAGCAAAGATCTTGAGACCTTCAATGTCCAGCAGAGTGCGCTGACCGGGGGCGAAGAAGTGCATCTGGAAGAAACGCTCAAAGACCTTGGCCAGGTATTCGTGCTTGAACTCGTAGTTGGGGTCTCTCTTCATCGAGGCCCAGGACAGCTCGAGGTCCATCGCCTCGAGGTGAGTTGCGCCTTGTCTGTTCGCATCGTACACCTCACCCTCGAAGGTGTCGGTCATTCCGATCTTCAGCCATGATCGTTGCGGGTCGGACAGACTGATGGTGCCCTCGGGGAGTTCGGGTGTTGGCCGCGCTCTGACAACGTTCTCTCGTACTGTTCCTCGGACAGGGTCTCTGGCTCGAATCAGGATGTTGATGTCCTGGCCGTCGCGGCTCGGGGCGAAGTCTCGGTAGCTGACACCTGCGCTGGGAGGGGAAGGGTTAGCAGCGGAAGAGAAGAGGGACTGCGTGTTCGAAAGATGCTTACACGTTGGCATAAATAAGCTGGGTCTGCAAGGCCTTGTCCCTGACTTTCTCGATCCTCAGCCGCACACCGGGCTGTCTCGGCGACTGCGGCTGGCCGCGGGGGAGCGGCTTCTCGGGGAAGCTCATGTCTGAGGCGCTCGGTCGGTGTGGCAGAAAAGATGGGATCGCTTGGTTGTGAGGTTGGTTACGATTTCGTACAGCTGGGTTGTTCTGGTTTCTTGTTCTTGAGATGTGTTGAGGCAGACGGTGAGGATGACGGAGGGGAGGTTATGTACACTAATGGTAGGTGGAATGGTGCATGTTGGAGGGGCGGCGCGGCTTCGTCTTCGCTTCAAGTCCCCTGGGCCCGGGGAGCGCTAAACCTTGTTTGGGCCAAATGGACACAAGGCGAAGCAGGTACGTATCGAGGGGACCCTTACCTTACCCTTGCTGCAGCGAATGGCATGGAAGATGCGCTGATGCTTAGGTGGATCTCACCCGTGGTTTGTAACCGTGTTCAGTCTGTTTCAACTCTGGCCAGTTTGAGGATCCAGATGTATTCTTTGCAGAAGCGTTGCTGCCTGCGCAACTTGAGTGTAAGAGGGTGTCCAATCATTTTCAAGCGTTGACCTCGTGTCATTACCTAGTATCTACGGGACGAGTCTTGTTGTAAGGTAACTAAGTTTGACAAGGAAGTTGTTCAGCAAATTCCATTGTGACATGTGCAGCAGTTCCATTGACTGACGGCGGGAAGGTGCAAGTCAAAGTGAAGTGGGGCACGCAGCTGCCGTCGCCAGGCATGACCCACTTCAGGTCTCCAGCTGCCGCCTAATTAATGACGTCGATTGGCTCGAGATGTAGTCTAGTCTCTTTTAGGACTCACTGGAGCTGCTCGCATTTCGGACTCATAGGTTGCGAGCCATCATCCTCATTACATCAACTCTTTCATAGCTTCCTCTTGGTAATGTAAGCTTTCCAGGGGCCCAAGTAAATCATGCCGCTGTAAGTCACATCTGTCGACCAGTATGATCAGCCAGAATCTAACTGATAAACAGACACCTACTGGGTAAAAAGTCTTGGAACGTCTACAATGCGGACAACATCGCCCGTGTCCGTCGCGATGAGGCTGCCGCAAAGGCCAAGGAGGAGGCCGAGGAGCAGCGCATGCAAGAAGTCGATGCCGAGCGCCGACTAGCTATCTTACGGGGCGAGGAGCCACCGCCACTGCCTCCAACAGAAGAAACCCCTGATGATGAGCCAAGACATCGGGACCGTGATGCCGGTTCGTTCGGCAGGGAGAGAAAGAAGCGCAAGCGCGCTGGCGAGGACGACACTGACTTTGAGTTACGTGTTGCAAGAGAGCGTTCAGGCGTCGTGCAAACAGCCAACGAGACCTTGCGCAAGTCAACCAGCTCTGCGCCGATCGTAGATGCAGCTGGGCACATTGATCTTTTTGGCGAAGAACGAAAACAGGGTCGTCATCTAAAGAATGAAGAAGCGGAGAAGGAAGCGGCAAAAAGGAAGAAGGAAATGGAGGACCAGTACACAATGCGATTATCAAATGCGGCCGGCAAGGACGGTATGGTCGGCCCTTGGTACGCAGCATCTGGGTCAAGAGCTGAACTCGCAGAGCTCGAGCCCGCCGGCAAGGACGCATTTGGCAACGAAGACCCAGGAAGGAAGAAGAGAGACGAACAGAGGATAGTAGCGAATGATCCTCTTGCCATGATGAAGATAGGAGCATCCAGAGTAAGAGAGGTGAAAAAGGAGCGCCAAAGATTTGAAGCTGAGCGACAGAAAGAACTTGAGCAGCTGCGCAAGGAGGAGAAGCGAAAGGAGAGACATGAGCGGCGGAGACGAGAGCGGCGGAGGGACGAGGAACGCCACCCTCGAGATACGTCTCGTGAAAAGGACGATGGTGAAGCCAGATCCCGTTCAAGGAGGGACAGCGAACGCCATCCTCGATCCAGTCGAGACGATGGGCCCGTCCGAGGCAGGAACCGTCATCATGAAGAGAGAAGCCACAGACACGAAAGAAGGGACGAAAGCGATAGGCGATCCAGAAGAGATGAAAGGAGTCGCCATGACGGAAGAGGTGAGATGAAGCACGAACGAAGCAAACGAGACTCTGATTCACGACAACGAGATGACCACCGACGGCCGGGAGAACCTCAAGAGCCAAGCAAGTTTTGATTATGGCAGTAAACATGATATCCCTATCTACAAGAGAAGGGCAGAAAACAGCTAGTTGTGATACCGAAGCCAAGCCAATCACGAGCGGTCATCGAAATACCATCACTAGACCGGGCAAATCAGGCCGATTTGCACAACTTGCCACTGTTGAGGTTGTAATCCCAAGCATCGCTTCCGACGCCCGACAAGACGAACAGACTCTCGGTAGGGTCATATTTGCTCTTGATCTCAACTAGACGGTCGTAGGAAGTACCGTAAAAGTCCTCCTTGAACATGGAGTCAAAAGCATTGCCCTCGTTCATGTAGGAGCCAGCACCCGGTGCCCACTCGCGCCAGACGGGCTCCTTGGTCTCTTCCAGCCACTGCGCGACACCGTCGAGAGCCTCCTGGGGCGCCGCGTTAGGATCCGCCGATGCGCCGTAGCTCATCAGGTGGATGTACGTAGAGCGCCACATCGGGTTGAGGGCACCTCGCATCACCTCGGGGACGTTGCGAGGCCCCAGCCCGCCTTGCAGACCGATGACCATGAGGGCGCTACCCGTGGGGTTCTGCGGCACGCTGAGACGCTGGAGGTACGCAGAGACGGCCGACACCGGAGTCTCCGCGAGTTCCTTGCGTCCGAGGAGGCGACTCGTCATCATCCCAGCCCCGGCTGCGCTGGGCGACGTGTTCAGGCTCTCGAAGAAGCTCATAAAGTCAGGCTGCGATGACGGCTCGCTCAGGGTGACTGTGACAGATTTGTTGCCCACCTCTGCGAGGATGCGAGCTCTAACGGGCTCGAGGAGCGAGGTCATCTTCTCTGCTGTCGTGTTGTACGCGAAGAAGCCAATGGAGGCGGTGACCTTGCGGACAGTCTCGGACGAGTTGGCAGGTAGAGCTCCGGCGCTTAACATGCCGGTCCCGGTGAGAGTCGCGTCCATCAAGTCAGGCACACTGGCGAGCAGGGCTGCGGCACCTCTCCAGGCCGCCTCTCTGGAGGCAGTGTCGTTGCCCGCGGCCGACACTTGAATGCCGCTGGAGACAACATTGCCCGGTGGGGGGTTCGCCTTGATGACGTACTCGGAGACGAGGCCGTACTGGCCGGCGCCTCCGCCGCGGACTGCCCATAGAAGATCCTGGTTTTGCGCCTCGTTGGCGACAAGGATCTGGCCGTCGGTCGTCACGACGCGCACTTGCAGGATCTGGTCTGCCGCGAGGCCGTATGTGCTCGAGAGGGGACCGTGACCGCCTCCCTGCATGTGTCCGCCGACTCCGACTGTCTCATCAACGCCCCCGACAACAACCTTGTTGAACTTGGCTGCTCCTCGAGAGGCAGAGCCCCAGTTGTGGCCGCTTCCCAAGGTGAGTGCCGCCTCGGTTCTATTATCGCTGGGGGATCTCCACTCGGGGTGGTATCCGAGTTGTTTGAAGTTGTGAGTCCAGATGGACAGCGAGTAGGCGCCGGAAGAGCTAGAGTCAGGTTAGTGCACTGAAAGCTCTGGGGATGAGATTGAAGACATCTTACCGGCCGTTGAGATCGTGCCCAGTTCCCTTGATGACGATGCGAATGTTCCGCGAGCTGGCCCAGCCCATGGCAGTGGCAATCTGCTCTTCCGTCGTGGCGTTCACAACGTACTGCGGCGAGCCGCCAATCTCGCAACCCTTGGCCGCGGACTCACTCGGAGGGAGACACGAGTTGTTGGCGTAGATGGAGGAGTCGATGGACTCAGGAAGAGATGCGTGGTAGGCGGAGTATCCCCATCCCTTCTCGACGTCTTCGCACGACTGCAAGGAGCCGAACGGGTTTCCGGCGTAGCAGGAGGATGCGGCGGGTCGAGTCTTGATGAGAACACCGTCGATTGTTGCGTTCAGCTTCGACCAATCCTCGTCGGACGGCCATGCAGCATCGTCAGGGGTGACTTTGCATGTCTGCTGCGCGGAGATGCCTAGAGCGCAGACGGTTACCAGGAACGAGATGACGGTTTTGGCAGCCATTGTGGTAACGAGAGAAGGTGACGGGCTTGTGTGCGTGCCTGTGAGATACTACCAATGATAAAGGCCATGATGCGGTCTCGATGGGCATTTTTATATCAGAACGGTGGACTCCGCCATCTTCTCATTTTCGTATCGTTGAACGACATTCCACTTTCGTCACATTTGCCATCGCTACAGATGTTCAGTACCAATTTCGTCACGATACTAGTTGTCCCGGTCCAAGTCACATCAGACGGAAAGTTTCCACAGGGCTATGTCGACGGCGCGGAGGGCACGAGGGTATCTCCCCTGATTGCCGAGCCTCCGAGACGCGTACAATGTGCTGTAGCTAGTGTAATAAGGCATGAGAAAACAGGGTATTAAGAAAAAGCCCACTCACAAGTCGGTATTTGTGATGACGATATGCCTTCGAAGCCACCTCCCAGAAAGTGAGGACCGCCGTACGCCGCGCCAAGTCCGAATAGCTCCATGTGTTCTGCCATTTGCCGGTGACCTTGTACAGAAACAGAATCTAAATCCCAGTCATCAAGTGTACTGCGACTCGTTACTGGACAATTATTCTAGGACAAGGGAGGGGGGAATTGGGTAAAACTAGGGTTTAAGGCTGGAGACTAAAACAGGGGCCGGACTTCATGGCTCGTAGAATAATCGTATCGAAAACGAGCGAATTTTCGTACAGAATGCGGAAATGTTTTGATTGGCTCATCGCCATGATTCAGGGACGAGGGAGACCCCGCTGACGACTTACACGCACCAAAGCATACAGTAAGGAGTAATTCTGTGACCCGATGACTTTGAGCGGCGGCGTCAAGAAAATTTGCGTCTCTTCTTTTTCCAGACGTCTCAACCAGTGGTGGCCAGGATAAAGATCCATTGGCTTTTCGTTCCCCGGAAAGGAGTACCGAAATTCGTCCCTCTTCCTCTTCCTCGCCCTCCATTCTCAAATCCCTACAATCCATCAATCTCCAATTCTTTTCTCCTCTGAATCCAGACATCTTCCTATCTCGCCTCCTACCAACACATCAACGTCCTAAGACTTTCTCTCCTCTACAAGTGCCTTACAGCTTGTAAACATAGACCCCATACCACGAGCTGAGCCATGAACACAGACTACTGGCAGCTCTCAGGCGCCTTCGGCCTCTGGGTCCGCGCCTGCATCCGAATCCTCCAATTCGTCTTCGCCATCGTCACGATTGGCCTCTATGCCGCCACGCTCGGCTCCTGGAGCACCCTGCCGACAGAGAACCTCGAGAGAACGCCCTGGATCTACGCCCTCGTCCCGGCCGTCCTCTCAGCGCTGACATGCGCCTACCACGTCTTCGCGACAGTTACACACGCCGCCTGGTCTGTATGGGACTTCGGGCTGGCCGTCCTCTGGGCCGCGCTGTGCGGTCTGTCTTCTTCCATGGTCGTGGGCGGCGAGAAGAGTATCAACGTTACGGGCGATGTCAAGTCGAGACTTGCTGCGGGTGCTTGGATTGCGGGGATTAGCATGCTGCTGTGGCTTCTGAGCTCTGTTCACGGGTGCGCTTTTTGTTGCGCGTCGAGGAAGATGAAGAGGACGGTGAAGAAGCAGGAATCGGAAGAGGATAAGCTTGAATTGGATGGTCTTCCAAATAGTCGAGAAGAGAGTGTCTAGATGGACCGCGGGTAATAGACTCATCTACTTTGCACATTCGTATGGCGTTGGGGTTAATGAGGGGATAATGGGTTTTTATTGGAAGATACATAGATTTATCGAGTTTGGAAACAAGAGTGCTCGTGAGACTGAGCAAATAATCTTGATTCTGGCAATATCCGGCCTCTCTCGAGAAAAAGTCTCGTGGAATAATAACAAGATCGCTTGAGCGACTACGAGAAAATGGACAGAGATTACCATCAGACTTTTCCAAGCAGCAGGGAACACCTCCCTTCGCTCTACGGTCACCCCGAAGCAGCGAGACCAGTTGAGTTTCGGGCCGCTCATTTCGTATCCATGACATTAGATGCCTAGCTAGTAGCTGACGGTAAAAAGTAGATCCACTGGCTAACCTGAGAGTAGCCGACTTCCTGACGCGGCCCTACCCAGGAAGCTATGCGGCAAGGTACTAGGTGGATTAACGTATGCTTAAGTCTCTTTATATGTACTTGATCCTGCCCCTCCCTGTCTCCTACTTTATTCCCCACGTCCTCTTTTACTATCCACCTCCAACATCACACAGCTATTCAGCACGTGAAGTACGCAAACATGGAAGGCGAAAAGAGAGAGACATTTGGATCCTCTAGGGAGTCTAAAGCTTCGGCCTTGGGGCTCGAGGACCTCTACCTCGAAGGTAAAGCAGCCCCAAGACCCTGTCATAACCCTAAATCAAACACTCAACGCGGTGAATAGAAGGCGAACCATCCGGCTCAACGCAAGCCGAAGACCAGACACCGCCTGAGTATACACCCCAGTACACACCTCAACGTCAATGGCCAATACCACTCAATATCGTGGTCCAAATCGTCGGCTCCAGAGGCGACGTGCAGCCCTTCCTCGCCCTCGCCTCCGCCCTCCAGAAAGCAGGCCACCGCGTCCGCATCGCAACGCACCCGCAGTTCTCCTCCTTTGTACTCGAATCCAACAACTCCGTCCCAGCCTCCGCCTCACCAAACAGGATCGAGTTCTTCCCCGTCGGCGGCGACCCGGCCGATCTCATGGCCTACATGGTCGAGTCACCCTCCCTGATCCCCAAAATGTCGCAGATCCGCGCGGGCATCATCCAGCGGAAGCGCGACATGTACGTCGAGATGCTCGACGGCTTTTGGCGGTCCTGCGTCCACCCTGACCCCCTTTCCAACGTGCCATTTGTTGCTGATGCCATTATTGCCAACCCACCGAGCTTCGCCCACGTGCACTGCGCCCAGGCGCTGGGAATCCCGGTGCATTTGATGTTTACGATGCCGTGGAGCAGTACCAAGGCGTTTCCGCATCCGTTGGCGAATATTGGGTTTTCAAAGGCGGATAAGAAGAGTACAAATCATGCTTCGTATTCTGCTGTTGAGTTTTTGACATGGCAGGGGTGAGATTGTATCTCTTCACAGGCGAGTGGCTATGTTGCTAACGGCAAAACAGCTTGGGAGATCTTGTCAACGCGTGGAGAGTCCAGTCACTTGGCTTGGAACCTGTTCCGTCGACCGAGGGACATCGTATACTGGAAAGTCTGCAAGTCCCATTCACATATTGTTGGTCGCCGTCTCTCGTGCCCAAGCCCAGTGATTGGGGTCCGCACATTGGTATGTTCTACATCAAGAAATCTACCATGAAGAGTCAAGCTAACGATCAGCAACAAGACATTAGTGGCTTCTTCTTTCGCGACCCTGCGCCGTATACACCACCTCCCGACCTCGAAGCCTTTCTCAAGGCCGGTCCACCACCCATATACGTCGGATTCGGAAGTATCGTGGTTGGCGGAATCGAGGGCCTCATGACCATGGTCCTCAGCGCAATCAAGGCGACAGGAGTCAGAGCCATTATCTCGAGAGGCTGGAGCAACTTGACCGGCGAGGAGTCGGACAACGTATTTTACGTGGGCGATTGCCCGCACGAGTGGCTATTCCAGCAAGTCGCCGCTGTCATCCACCACGGCGGCGCCGGTACTACAGCCTGCGGATTGAGATACGGAAAGCCTACAACCATTGTTCCCTTCTTCGGAGAGTGAGTAGAAAATAGGATCACATGGGCCACAGTTTCACTGACACTTCCCCCATAGCCAACCCTTCTGGGGCGCCGTCGTGGCAGAAGCTGGCGCAGGACCAGACCCCATCCCCTACCGCTCCCTCACATCGCAAAAGTTAATCCAGGCCATCCAGCTCTGCCTCTCCCCGGACGCCATCCGCTCGGCCAGAAAGCTCGCCGACGCAATGCAGAGGGAGGACGGCGTCCAGGCCGCCGTCGACGCCTTCCATGCCAACTTGCCACAGTCGAAAATGGGCTGCGACTTCTTCTCTGACCAGCCCGCGGCGCTGGTCTACGGGAGGGGTAAGAAACAGGTCAAGATGTGTAGACCCGTCGCGTCCATCTTGGTCAAGAATGGAAAATTGCAGCGGAAGCAGCTCAAGTCGTACGTGGTTAATTCATACACTCGATTCAAGGGCCCTCTCTATGACGCTTGTTACTGAAACTGTTCTTTTGCAGATATCGATCGAAACCGACAAACATTGAGAACCAAAGATGGGACCCCCTGACGGCAGTATCAGCAGCCTCCATCTCGACAATCGTCAAAATGGCAGGCGCCACAGCCGACGTTATTGTCAAGCCTTTTGAACAATACAAACGCACCAGCGAGTCTGGCGAGAACCTCGAAGAGCAGCAGCAAGTCGAGAACACGCAAAGACACAGCCAAGCGCCCGCGTTCGCCATGTTGCCCCTCCCCGGCGTCGGCGTCCCAGACGGGGCGGCGGCAACCGGAGAGAAAACTTCCTCGGCCCGGCCGCCGCCATCCAGGGGTAGCCAGGAATCATCCTCCAACGGCGCAAAACCAGGCGCCATGGCAGCCGCAGCAGCCAACGGCGTAGGCAAACTCGCGAGCAACGCGACGAAAGGTCTACTCGTCGACATACCCCTCGCCGTGACGGAGGGTCTCCGCGCGGTGCCGAACCTGTACGGCGAGCCCGTCCGCAAGCACGACGCCGTCGAGGGTTTCCGCAGCGGCGTCTCGGTGGCGGGCAAGACGTTCTGCCAGGACATGAAGGGCGGGCTGACAGACATCTTTGTGCACACGTACACGGGCAAAAAGGAGCAGGGCGCGCTGGGGGCGGCCAAGGGGCTTGGGAAGGGGGTGGCTAGTCTTGTAACGAAGAGCACTGCTGCGACGTTTGGATTGGTTAGTTACCCGGCGCAGGGGATTTATAGGAGCATCTGGGCTGCGTCGTATGCGGATACGAGGAGGAGTATTGAGGATGAGAAGTTGTTGGAGGGAGATTGGATGGTGTCCATGAGCCCTGGGTGGAAGATGGATCATGCTGCCATTGTGGAGGATTTTGAGGGGATGAAGGGGACTAGAGGGCAGTGATGAATGAGTTTGCCTTATTGGAATGGCAAAAGCTGTCAGCAAAATGGCTGTTTCCTTGTTGCTTATTTGGATGTGTCTTGTAAGGCGTTGCGGTAGGCATGGGATTAGGGTGGCTCAAAAGTGAACCAGGAACCAGACCGTCATCATCCCGTGATGGATACCCCACATGCTGGCTCTTCTAGAAGAATTCGATAGCTTATTTCATACGGGTTATTTTACCTTGTCTAGGGAATGCGGCTCCTCCACATCTGGGGTAGGTATCATGACCCCAACACAGCCATTGCCACATTGACTTATACGGGACCGTGGCAGTGATCTATAAAACCATAGTGGCACGGATGATCAGGCACCGCGTATCTGCAGCTTAGTTCCTATGTACTAGGTAGTCAACCTCGTACAAGATGGGAATGACGATGGAATTGCAAGATCGTGGACAAGGGATGCACGGCGGCGCAGGGGTGGCGGAAAAGGAAGGCTTCTGGAAGGATTCGATGGCGGGGCATTCGTTGGTGGCTGAGCTTATCAGGGAATAGTCAAAAAAGCTCAGCTATTCCCACATTTACACAGCAAACGAGACCACGCAGTAAGACGACAAGGATGATGTAGAACGAAATCAGTCAACCACTTGAGCCTTGTGGAGTCTGGGTTCGCCCTGCGGAAGCATGTGACGAAGGTGATGGGTTCAACGTGGAGACGGTCTCGCCGGGTGCTGGATTCGGTGAGAGTCGGCCAAAGATTGCAGCCGCCCGCGCGTCGCCACCGGAAATTGGTGTTGGTTTGTCGGGATGAAGGCGGAGGATCGGCCGACATTCTGGCCAATCCGGAGGATGATGTCAAGTTGCTTAAATACCCAAGAGATATTGATGCGCGGAAAGGCAGAAATTGAAAGCTCTTGCTCCAAGTTCGCCGGGCGACAAATATTGGCGGGGCAGTGCCGGGTCACGCGTGCCGGAGAGACGCTAGGGCCACTTTCGGAAAGGGTGGAGACATGCGGCCGGCGTGGATTGGCCGATCCGGAGGCTGAGACTTGTGAATGGCGTTCTGCCCAGAAGCTGGGCGGCGACGGTAGATTGAGTGGAGACGACACCACTTTACCTTACGGAGGACAATGTAAGAATATGCACGAGCGGTTGGAGGCGCATTCTCAAGAGCGGAGTCAATGAAGTCATTCCCTGGTCTCCAAATTCCTCGGACTTTGAGAGAGGCTCTGCGATGAAGGATCCGTTGGTGGGTGATTACCGGCCGCAGGAGCCGTTAGGTAACGGATAAATAAATACCTTGCCTTAGGTAGGTAAAGTAAGCCACTCGCTATGCCATGCAATTATTGACCGAAAGCAGTCGGCGAACAATCACGATGTCTGACTTGAGGGTATAGTATTCGTAGTGTAGGATTCTCCAAATCTCGGCGCTGGGGTTCCATGATATCATGCCACTCTGCCATGCCCTCCCTTGGCGGAAGTCGGCACGCGAGAGGACGTTGATTGGCTGTTGTGCATGTTGGGGTGACAGGGCCCCGAATATCATGACACAGAGATGAATGATGTGTGAAACGTTCTCCGTTGGCGTGTGACATTTTGGTCGATAGTTGCAGGCTCAGTGGTTTAATTGCCCCTGGCAGACAGACAGCCGCCTGGAGCTTGTCGAGATCAGACGGCGTGTTTGGATGGGATGGTGTGCACTTTTTCTCGGAGAGGTTGGAGAAGTGCAAAGGTGCCAAAACACAACCGTCAGCCCGCCCTGAGCAGTCAGCAATCAACCCCGTGCGCGGCGTGTCTTGGCTGTAGCCAAGGCTGATTGAAGGACGGATTGGGTCCGCCACCGCTCTGCCACCAAGGACGGATCGTTGGGATCGGATCGTGAGGTTTTTTTTGTTGCCTAGGCAGCGAAGAATGGAGAGGGCGGAGCAGCGACATTGCCCTCGTGGTAAAGTTTGGAAGCAGTCGGGCGATCACACTTGGTCGATGCGCGCAGTTGAGGTGAAAGTCGCGCTGTCTATCCGGGCAAAAAAGAAACAACCATGTCACTCTGATTGGGGTGTAGGGACCTTGAAGGTAAGACGGCAGACCGGCAGCTTCGCGATTGGGCGCGATATGGAAAGTCAAGCCGTCGCAACGGTGTCGATTCTGCTAGCATTGCGGCCTTTTTTTTTTTTTTTTTTTTTTTTTTTTTTTGAGGCCGTCCATGACCACAAGATCTTTTCAACATATTGGCTGTCCTGGTGTAGGTACCTAGGTAGGTAAGGTACCTATGCAAGTGATGATGCGGAATGTGTGCCGAGAAGAAACAGTCAGCAAGATGATTACCTTGGTGCAGGCAGAAAGAACGTCGTGACCGTGAAGGGAAGGAAGCTCACATTGAGCATGGGCCACCGCATGTTGGAGTTTCGCGGGCAGTGCAGGTGCTCTCCACCATCGGGCACGTTTGCCCCGCATGGCTCCAGCGTTCCTTCCCTGGTGCTCACATCCCTGCCCTGTTCAACAGCCCACGGACGCAGACGGGGCAACCAACTGGAACATGGGGCAGGTACCTCCAGCTTCGTACTTGCACTTTGCGATATCATTGTCACCTTAGTGAGTCTTGAGGGAGGTGCTGCGAGACCCCTGCTCCACCATTCGGCTCCTGTAGCTTCCTTTTCGCGGTTTGCGACTGCCTCCTCTCCTCTCCCGCCTATCATCGCGCTTGCCGATAGCTCAGTGCCACCACCACCTCAGAAAGAAGGCCCCAAGAAGATGACCCCAAGGAAAGAGCTCCTGGGCACAAACACAGCCCACCCTGTGTCCTCCATGTCCTACGGAATGATTCGACCCTTGCTCTTAGACCCGTCGGGTGTCTATGATCCCTTGGTCTTAGAACTCTTAGTGCAGTCCCCGGTCTTCATTCTCCCCTCGACACATCTCCATTTTGTACCTACCTACCCCAGACGTCGTCTACTTAAGAACCTCGTACCCCCAACCATCACAAATCGTACCTTGGTTAGCACACATGGTTCATCACTCAGAATCTACCTCCGAAGCTTCTGATCATCTAGATACCCGCACTCGACAAGCTTCTTCTTCCAACACATCTGCACGACACCTTCTCCAAGCCAACTCGTCTCGATCGCATTCGCCTACGATGAGCGCCCCGCAACACGAGAGCACTTCCACGGGCAAGGCCCGCGCACCCGATTATGAGGAGCGCAGCGAAACCACGGCCAACGGTGGCGGCCTCGGTCTTGGACAGGGCGGCTTCAAGCCTCACAATGAGATGACGGTCCAGCCTCCCACCAAGGAGGATCTCCAGCGCAGCTACGCCAGAGTTGTCGCCGAAGATGCTAACCCCAAGGGTTGGTACGGAACCATGAGTAAGTCTGATCCTTGCATCCGCCTCACCTCCAAGCCTATCGCAAACCACTGACACAACATCACCACCAGTCAACACCTTCGGTGCCTGCATTGGTACTCTTGGTGCCATCCCCTGCTGCATCGTCTGCCCGAACCCTTACAAGAACGTGAACCAGGGTAATGTCGGTCTCGTCACCAAGTTTGGCAAATTCTACAAGGCCGTCGACCCTGGTCTTGTCAAGGTCAACCCTCTCAGCGAGAAGCTCATTCAGGTCGACGTCAAGATTCAAATGGCAGAGGTTCCCCAGCAGACTTGCATGACCAAGGACAACGTCACCCTGCATCTCACCTCTGTCATCTACTACCACATTGTCGCACCTCACAGAGCCGCCTTCGGTATCTCCAACGTGCGCCAGGCTCTGATGGAGCGAACCCAGACCACTCTCCGCCACGTCGTCGGTGCCCGCATTCTCCAGGATGTTATTGAGCGTCGTGAGGAGATTGCCCAGTCCATTGGCGAGATCATCGAGGATGTCGCTGCCGGATGGGGTGTTCAGGTCGAGAGCATGCTCATCAAGGACATCATCTTCAGCCAAGAGTTGCAGGAGTCGCTGTCCATGGCCGCCCAGAGCAAGCGTATTGGTGAGAGCAAGATCATCGCAGCCAAGGCTGAGGTACGCATCCTAAATCTCACATGATTACATTTCATCACTAACACAATCTAGGTCGAATCTGCCAAGCTCATGCGCCAGGCTGCCGACATTCTGTCGTCTGCTCCTGCCATGCAGATCCGCTACCTCGAAGCCATGCAGGCGATGGCCAAGTCTTCCAACAGCAAGGTCATCTTCCTGCCTGGTCCTGGCCAGACCATGCCCAACATTCAGCAGTCGCTCAGCGGCAACAACCAAGCGGGCGAGTCGAGCGGTGCCAACCACGGCACTGGCGACTTCAACGACTTTGGAGGTCAGGATTCCGGCTTTCAGCAAGCCATTAACTCTCGTGTCATCGAAAACATTTGAGTTCGCACCGAGTGCTGACTTGAGGTCTCGTGTGGGGGAATAGCTTGGTCACACTAAAGCCGACCCCTTTACGGCTGTCACCAATTACGCTTTGATTCTCTTGCTGCGACGTCAATACCCCTTCGTTTCACGATACTCCGACACGATTGATTTTTCAAATACCCCTTTGCGACGAATAATTCCATACAACGAAATAGAAAAAACCAGAAAAAAACATGTACTTGTAGCACGCGGGAGAGATGTGGGGTAAGGATGGACAGAGGCCTGCCGGGAGATGATAGCTCAAATCGGCATGATCACGTTGGACGGGCTTTGCAGTATACCCATTTCATTCGCTTGAAATTTGACTCGGAGGACATAATCATAATGGTACTGAAATTGAATACGAATCTCTACCTTGATTTACTTTGCTGCACATTTCGAAATTGTGTCTTTGTTTATCCTGTTGCATGCACGGACTTCTGTAAGATCAGCTTCATATCGCACATTTGGAATCAGCGCAATTTTCAATGAGTCCATATTGCCATGTGCCATCAAATCTACAGAATTGAGCTCGCAAGAAACTGGAAATTGACGGTCTGAAGCTGCCTTGAGGATATAGCGAGAACCAATGCGTTCAACTCCTGGTTGCCTAGCCAATGATGTGCATCAACGAATCCAAGAGTCAGTCGACTTATTTACTGACAAGGAAGGTCGGTATCAAGAGAGAGTAGCGGAAAAAGATGAATAACCACCCCTCAGTCTGTGGCTGATTCTCGGACCACGGCCGATTTTAAACGTGTAGGCCGGATCAGCTGAAGCGGTGGCATGGAAAAAGCATTTTGGAGGCTTGGTGGACGAAAGGGGCTGAACCTCGAATCTCGAGTCGTTGGGCCAGTTGGTTTGATTGATGACGGAAATGGGAGTGATTTGGAATGAGGTAGGGAGAGCTGGGCAGGAGGATGGGTTGGAGCATTGATCGAATAGAGTGGGATGGGATGAGAATGAGAATGGGAAGGGGTGAGTGATGTGCATAGGGCGAAAACTGAGAGTTGACAGGGGTATTCGTGGGCGAACGTGAACCAGGAGCTGCGTGACGAGAGATGAAGAACGAATATGGGTAGGTTAGTAGCCTGCTATGAATGACAGCAGAACGCATCACGCCAACGAAGAATACCTCTATACCTCCTCTACAAGATGCTAGACGTACGCTGAAGCAGTCTCAGAATAAGTCGTCGACATTTTTTCATATGCTTTTTATTTTATTTTAGCACTAACGGGGTCTAGGAAGCAGTGTATTATGAATGATCCAAAGTAGTGATTTTGGGAGACAAATCAACTTGAGTAGGAACACCCTGAAGAGTTTCTCTATGATAAGGCAGAGTGATATCATGGCCTATAACTAAAACAGAATACTGTCGGCTGCTTAGATAGTCTTGTAACAAGTTGTCGAACTACGTTGACATGTCTTGACTTCTGGTCACTGATGGTGGCTGGGGTGGCAATCTATTCGGAACGATGGCTTTGGGAGAGAATGGATGCCTTCATTACCTATCAGAACTTTGTCAGACTCATTTCTTGAGACTTTTACACAAAGATTGATAAGTGCTTGAAGAGTCTGAAGCAAGAAATTTATAGTACACTACTATACAGCTGCGAGCTTACTTGTTTGTTATTGTGATAGGTTCTATATGAAAGAATAGATGCTCAGCCTAGGTATTATATCACTACTATACAAACTCCAATCAAAGACACGCCTGAACCGGGCAACGTAGTATCCAAGCACACAACACTCACGCCTCCTTCCAGGGCAACGCGATCTCAACAGGCAACATATCCTTCTCCACCATGCCAACCAACTCCTTGGCCTCCAAGCCCTTCAGTGCGCCCATAACCTCCTCATACCCAGCGGCACTCAACCCTTCCTTGCGATCGCAGTAGATATCAACACCCTCCTTGGTAAACACCGTCGGCGCAAACCACGTTACAGCCCACCTCTCCACCTCCCCACTGCCTTCGATCCTCCTCTCCCCCCATCCGAGAACCTCCCAATGACTGCCCACGAAGAACAACCACCCTTTCCCCCTCCAGTCCCAGACGGAAGTATCCCCGACGGCGCAGGCGGTATCGACGCCTTTTACGGACTTGACGGCCGTGGAGGGGTGGGGCGTCTTGTTGGACTCGTACTCGACGAGGTCGTCTATGCGGGCTGTGCCGTCTGGTTTCGGGGCCATGGAGGCGTAGGAGATGCGGACGTTGCGGGCGTCGCGCCACATTGCGAGGGTGGAGTGGGTTACGGACCAGGTGCGGAGGAGCCATTCGAGGGGCGGGGCTGAGAAGGTTGATGGTGATGGGGAGGAGGCGGCTGTGTATTTTGAGGGGGAGCGGAGGGTAACTGTTGTTGGTGGGGACGCCATGATGCTCTGTATCTTTTGCAAAGATGTTGAGGTGGATGTCGTGGAGGTTGAAGTTGTGCTTCGGAGCTTGTGTGGAGCTTCTTGGGATTGTCGCTGTTGACAACACTGTCAGGAGGTGGTTTCCCGTAAGATGTCGCGTTTTAGAGCTCGGGTATTCACGCGCGACTGCGATTCGAAGTGGTGCCGCTATATTCGGTGTCTCTACGGAAGAGGTTGTCGTTGTCAAAATGTTGGAATGAAGTTGAAAGACAAGCGCAAACCATGGCCCCAAGCTCCGGGATCCGCGCCAGGGGTACGGAGTACGTCGCGTTTCAAATGATGTCAGCGACTCAGCGGCCCGACGATTGAGACTCGAGCATTTCCCCCTTCCTCTCCCATTCTGTGCCTACCTACCCTACAGCACCTTGGGATGTAGCGGTATTAGTTGTGCACTCATCACACAATGCTTTTGATTCGCAAATGAAATATTGCTCTCTCATTCGCCCATATCTACAGCCGCAAATACCCGAACATGGCGTCCGTCATTCCTTTATCGACGACATGCCATTCAAAGACCCTGAAACTTAAGTCTGGAGCCCCCAAGTTATTTCCCTACCTAGCTAAGGTACCTTATGCCCCGGTCCCACGAGGCTGTAATTAAGCGGGCCAGTGCCGGACAAGGGTCTTAATTCGACATTTTTTCTCCCTCTTTCTTCCCTCCCCTCTCTCTGAGAAAAGTCCACGGCTCTTCCCGCGCCCAAAGCTCCTTTTCTGTTCCTCTTTGGCTGACTGCCTTTTTCCCTCCCCACATCGCCCAGAGCTGTTTCTTTCCTGCAGGAAGTTGGCCTACTTTATCCATACCAACATCTCTTTTCCAACGCCATCGCCCATACTTCTCCCGCAGCGAGCACCCTTTCGTAACGACGCCCCAACCGACCCCGTGTGACTAACCTCCTCACCGCCTACAATGGACGAAGACGACTCCCTCGCAATCGACCCCGAAATGGCAGCCTTCATGGGCTTCGCCTCCTTCGGGACCCAACCTGCCGCCAAGAAGCGCAAATACAACCACCGCACCGACGCCGTCTCCTCCGCGACCGGCGCGAACCAGACCGCACTCGCCCCTCGCGCTCCACGCCCCGCTCCCTCGTCGACAACGACCGAGGATGCTGCTGCGCCCGCCGCCAACGCCGATGAGATAGACCTCGACGATGATGACGAAGACGACAGCAACGCCGCCGGCGCTGGTGCTGCCGCCGGAGAAGACGTGGACGCAGAGCAAGGCGGCGCCAATCTCTACTCAGACCCAACCGTCGCCCCGGCCCTTGCCCACGCGCAAGGTTTGATAGACGAACTCGCCAACCGAGGTGCGGCAGTAGATGACGGAGCCTCAGCACCGCAGGCACAGAGCACAACCTACTCTCTCCCAACATCATCGGCCCTACCTCAACGGCCCGACGCGTCGTGGGGTAAGGAAATGGGAACCGCTCCGACGACGATGCCGACGAGGGAACGCCCCGAGCAGTATCAGCACCAGCACCAGCGTGGTGGTCGCGGGGGTTACCAGCAGCAACAGAGGAATGATGGCAAGCCTTGGTGGGAGGGCTACTACGACCCCGCGTCGAATGAGAACCCATGGGAGAAGCTCGAGAAGAAGGCTGGGGTTCTGTCCAAGGGGACTTGGGTGGCGAGGGGTACCCAAGCTCAGAAGGCTTGATCGAACGTCGATGGACTATCAATGTTCAATGTGGCATGGGTTGGCACCTGAGTGGTGTGTGGACCAGTACCCAGTGTGTGGTCAACATATATCGATATGCTTACCTCACCTTCACCTGGATGCCTTCTCAACCATGCGACTTGGCATACCGACAGACAACTCACCGACTACCTCATCGACCACGTCACGTGATGTCCATATCCGTGTGGGACATAGGCCAGGGGAAAATATCATGGCCCATCCATCACCTGATATATCACTGGATATATGGGACCCCCCAGACTTGGCCAAGGCCTGGGGGGTCCTTTACGGTGGCATTACGGAGGACTCCGGATCACGACGGTACTGTTACGGTGGACATATCGTGGACCAGCAGCCCGGCAAAGGGCTACCACGACCGAACAAGAAGAGAGTATGATATGACTATGAATCCCGAGACGGAGAAATACCCTGTCGTCGCTACAGAACCACCGAGAGGGTCAGAGGAACATGACCCACGTCCAGCTCCCCGTCGCTATCCTTCCCGAAAGAGCAATATCCCACCGCCCCGAAGAGGACAAGCGCCTCCAAACAGATTGCCAACAATTTTGTACCGTACCCTCATCTTGGGCCTGGTCTCCTTGTCTCCCGTCCCCTCCCTCCCGGTCTCCACCGAGCCATTCTACCGGCCTAGAGACCCTTCCAACAACTACTGCAGCCCCCGGGCTACTTGGCCCTGGCCCCGTTGCCCTCGGAAGGAGGGGGTGAGGTGTACTTTTAACAACATAGCCGCCCCAAATCATTTTCCCATTCATCCAATCATGTCTCATAATCATCTCGTGCAACAAAAACATCCCCCCCTCTCTCTCAAGGCGAAAGGTGAAAAGAAGGTCGGTCGGAACCCCACAGCAGCCCTACGTCTGCCAAATCTGGGGGAAAACTGCCCAGGGCATGTACGTGTGTGTGTGTGGAGGTTTACCGGGCGCTTGGGAATGATATTTCCCCATTCAACCCACTCCTCACTCGACCCTGCTCCAGCTCGCAGCTCGCATGTCTGCCGCCCTGCCCGTCGCAAAAGCAGCGTGAGATGGGCGGCTAGGCGGGCCCCCCATGCTCGCCCCGCGCCGTGCCGCTGCGCGTCAAGCCGTCCCGGCTGTCAGGTTCGCCTAGGGCCCCTGTCTCCTCTCTTACCCTCCCATGCTTGCCAGCCCAATATGTACCCAAGAAAAAAATAGTGGTAAGTAAACAAGCGGAGATGGAGGGAGGCGTGCGCTCATCCAAAGAAAATCAAATGCAAAGTAAATCTCCGGGAATCTGGTATCTTCGTTCCTGCAGTTTTGTCGGCAGGGATGTATGTATGTCGTGCGTTTTTGTGTGGTGTGGTGGCAGTGGTAGTAGCAATGGTGGTGGTGGTGACGACGGCAGGCTGAAACTTTTTTCTTTTGGTCGCAGTTGAAAATGGCACGCTGAAAAAAACAAGGCTGAAAAAGAAGGAGAAGCTCGCCGCTTGCTTTCAACGTCGTCGGTGTCGCGCGGCTGAGAAGCTTTCGCAATTCAATCCGCAGCAAACCACCCGGAATACCAGAGGAAATTCTCTAGTACTCGGGCGACGGATAGCGAGCGCGGGCCTTGCTGTACTCCTTGGTGTGCTTGCGAGAAGTCTTGCTCTTGAGCGATCTGCACAAAAAGAGGTCCGCGTGTTAGCCGCAATGTCTCAGATCTCGCAGATTTTACCCCCCGAAAGATTTCCTTTTCCGACGCCCAATGTTGCAGTCCCGCAGTTCAATCGGACCAGCAATCCGGTTCAGATATTTCCCCACTGGTTCGCGGGGAAAACTTCTGGGACCGCATACTGCAGTACTGCAGAATTTGCCTCTCCTTTGAATTTTTTCCGGAGTCCCGGAAGAGGCAATGGAGAGAGAAAAGGGTGCAACTTACGAGACTTTCTTCTGCGTCCACTCGAGGTCCGCGCGCACGTCCTGAGCGTCGCGGTAACCCTCGTTGAAGCGCTCGCGCGTCTTTGCGAGACGAGCTTGCGCCTTCTTTTGCAGCTCCAGCAGCTCACGGTGCTTTGCGTTGAGCTTTCCGGATCTATTTTTTGCATTCCTCTTCGTTAGCCTCTTTGTTCTGTCTCGCCGCCGCATATGGGATGCGCCGCACGCCACACGGAGGAAACAACTTACGTTTGCGCCTGGACCGCAATGTTGCGGTCAAGAGGGATGGGGTCAAAGGTCTGGGCGAAGCGGTCCTGCATGTAGTCGTTGAAGTCGACACCGCTGGCCGAGTGGTGGGTGCTCTCGTAGTCGCCGCTGTTGCTTCCGGCGTAGCTGGAGTTGGCCACCGAGTAGCCGCCAGAGTAGCCGCTGTTGCTGTATGATGGACCGGTGCCAGAGCTGACGGACTCATCTGTCTCTGGAGGCGATACAGAGTAGGTGCTGCTGTAGCTTGGGTAGTGTTGGCCCTTGTGGGAGGGGACGGGCAAAGGGAGGGTGTAGTGGGAGTTGTAGTGGGAAGACATGATGGGCGCAGGAGGAGGTGGAGGCCGGCAGTTGACGATAGAGGCGTGACGTGTACTTTGTGTACGATGTGAAGCAAACAAGGGATGACTAAGTCCAAGTGTCGACTGGGGATGGCGGCACTCTGTGAGACAGAGTCAAGTGTGCAAGGAAGTTGCTTGTTGGGCAAAGAAGAGAACTTGGAGAAAGCTATATGGAAGCTTCAAGATAGTCCAGGAATCTGATGATGAGAAAGGAAGAAGAAGTGAATAAAATCAAGCCGCTCAAGTTGTGCCCTTTTATACTTTTCCGAAACCCTCCTCGGACTCCATATTCTTCGTCTGTTTGGAAGGGGGATAAGACATCAAGCCTCGATTCGTCCGATGACAAGCCGTGGCTTCATCATTAACCGGGTCTCCTTCCGCGGAAGGGGGAACAGACGGAATGGTCCAAGGGCATGATGTGATGGGATGATCAGAGAAAGAGAGAGAGCGGCCAAAAGGGTCGCAGACAACAACGTCCACCATGGACATGGACATTGACATTGACAAGGACCATGATGAGCGGCAGCCGGTCGACCTGCCTGGGCCTGGTCTAGCCTGTGCGTTAGCGACAGGGAAGTGGCATAGACTAAACCCTGTCTTCACCCGCAACGCTTGTTGATGTGGATATATGGGCCGTGGAGAAAGAGAGGAGACAAAAGTGAAAAAAGAAGAGAGAAATATCCAACGACGATGAGGCGTTTGGACGTTGAGGGTGTGGGCATTGGAAGGGGTGGCAGCCGGACGGTGGTGGGAGGGTGATGGACAGAGCCATTGGCCAACCAAGGAGAAGCAGGAAAAGCAGATTGCTACTACGTCTGCATGCCGCGTTTCCTATTTCTCAAGAGGAAAGTAAAAAATGATGGGGAAAAACGCGGCAAGTATCAGAGGCAAAGATGAGGACTGAGAGAGGGAGCAAGGGAGCAAGAGGTGTCTGCATATGCCGAGGGAGGCGACTATCACAAGTGGGATTGGTGGAGATAGTCCACGATGGGGTGGATGGGGGTGGGCAGACCGGAACGGGTAAAGGATCTAATATCTCTGAGAGTCTGTGGAATATCCAGACGAAAGATGCCAAATACTATGGTAGCCAGGGTCGATACTTGCGGAGAAACGAAAGGAGAGAACAGTCCGATAAACTCAAGGGGGCACGGACTTGGCCGGCGCAGGTTGGCAAAAGAGCAGGATGGGAGGGCCAAAAAAGACGAGACAAGACAAGACACACGGAGAAGAATGTAGGTATGTGGGTTCAAGCAAAGGCAGCAGAGAGAAAAAACGATGCATGTCGTGTAAAACGGCGAACCAAGAGACATGCAGTTCCAGACATTGCCGAACCACCCACCTGATGACATGGGAGGTACAACCTCGAAAGTATTTCCGCACTACCTTACTCATTTTTACCGACTACAGGCAAGGATGGAATGGCTGCAACCTGCAAGCCAGGGGCATGGGGCTCTGTGGGCAGGGACGGACGTCTTCAGTCCACGTCCATGGCGTGGAGGGTTCCTTCATCAACCTTGGGCTGTGTGGTTTGTGGTTGCTTGGGGTGGCTCCCCCCTCCCTTCCGTCCACGCCCGTGCGGTGTCAAGAAGGATAGAAGGTGCTTTAGCTCCAAAAGGGGCCGAGGCGTGGGAAAGAAGGTGTGGGTGTAAGAGGTGTGTGTAGAATCTAGAAGTGTACCTACGTAGAAGAGTCCGGAAGGCAAACGGGACGTTGGTTATGGGCAGGCAGTCACACACCCCTCCCCCCGGGAATCCAACGACGACGTCTCCTTCTGGCGGACAGGACACACGCCGTGGCCGTAGATGGGAGGTAAAACAAAAAAGGACGTATGACGGAGGGCCATGCGGGTCGTATGTGTTATACCGACCCAGTCAGACGCAAGCCGGACCGGCCTTTCAACCGTCCGGAGAGGGGCTACAGTATGGTTCTGATTCGTGACGGAAGCGGTGTCGAGGGGGAAAAGAGAAGGAGGAAGAGGAGGGCGGTAAAACGGATACGCGCCAGAGATGGAGACGAAGGCAACTTGGGGCAAGTTGAACGATGGGCAGACGTCAGGACGATTAGGGAAAGCCGGGTCTATGGGGAAACGAGACAGGGCCCGCCGTTGATCGAAACTCTGATCCAACGAGTGTGCCGGGCTAACGAGGGTGAGGATGGGCTGGGATGAAAGGGGATAGGACAGGTTAGGGTGAATATCAAGAGCTAAGAAGTTTGGATAGGGCAGGGCAGGGCGGGATGTAGAGAGCAGGCCAGCAAAAGATTGGGAGACGAGACCAGAATGGAATGGGAATGTAACGGGGCAAAGACCGGCCGAGGGGCAGGAAGAGGGGACACTTCTCCTCTTCCGTTTGCTGTTCGTTCGCAATTGCGAACGAACCTGGCGTTCCTCGAGGTATCTCTCAACCCGAGGTATATCGTCCTGATGTTGAGACGTCTTAACAACACCACGATGCAATGCTCAGGCACAGCGGTACAATACAACGTATGGACAATGCGATACATGTACCGAGCATGCAGGCCAAGCAATTTCTCGACGACTTTGAATCAAAAGCAGCGTGGGATTGTCCACTCCCACGCAGCTCGTGTCGTCGCCTCGTTGGACTGTGGGAGCCACCTTCTTGATAGAACCGGGGACGGGTGTGGACTGCGGGATAAAGAAGTGCCCCCCAAATGCTGATCGTTTCTCAGGCAAAGAAGTATCTGTAGGTACTATAGTCTCTTGAAACGGTCATGTTGCCGTTTTCCAATGTGCGAATGCGACTGGAGAGTAATGGAAGGTATTCGTTCTGTGATTTAACCCTGGCGTCAGGTCAGGCAGAAGTGCAGTAGATTCGGGCATTTTATGTGGTGATGCGTTGTCAAGATGGGTGCCCCCCAGGATATAATATTTTTTTGGTTTATTCCATTTTAATTGTTATTTTTATTTATTTTATTTTGTTGTACCTCATCCCCTCCCCTGCAAGTACCTTTTCCCCTTTTCGACTTCAACTTAGTTCATTCCGGCTTTTTATCATTGGTCGGGACTTCTCGTCGCTCCCATTGGGTTTCTCAGAGTCCTTTTGCTGCCCTCTCCCGAGTCTTCCCCTCCCAATCTCTCCCACACCGTCTACTTTTCCCGCTTCTGATTGACTCGAATCATTGCCATTTTTCAGAATTTCGATTGGTGCAAAAGGACGGACGACTTCCAGAATCTACCTGAACTGGATACCTCTCCAGGGCTCCGGCAGGGCTCATCATCAACCCCTGTAATCCCACCCTATGACCCTGGCACGCCTGGCTCCGTCCAAGATGCACTCAAAGATGCAGAGTCTAGAGACGTTTTGACGGGGGGTGTGAGGGGCAGTAACTGGTCGGCTTAAATCGACATGTTTTCACAATGTTCCATTGGCGATGAATGATGTTGAAAAGCGGCGCCGACTCAAGTGCGAATTCGCCCCCGCCGAACTTTCAACACCGATGCGAGGATTCCCTCTTCCCTTCTCCCATCTATCTGGCTTTGTTTCTTTGCGTGTTTTCCTCTCCTCAGGCCTCCTCGAGGGTGGGGGTGTGAGTGCATCTACGAGAGGCCCCCATCATACGCAGGAGCAGCAGCAGCAGCAGCAGCATGTATGTGAGGCATGTATGTATGCGCAAAGGCGGAGCTTTCTCTACAAGGTGCATCGCATGTGATCTCTGGAAACGAAATTGCGTTTCTCGAGAATACAAGGCATCTTCTTTTGAGAAGAATGTATGTTGTGCTTTGCTTGCGTTGCTTGCGCGTTGCGTTGGGAAGTGTAAGAACGCGGGCAACCTGGGCAGATCTTACACCCGCAGTTCCAAGAGCGGCGGTGTAAGTGAGTGGCCTTTCCCCCTCCCCCTCCCAAGTTTTCCGTCGTCATCGTCAGCCGGTAACGGTTGACAAAGTTGGTTCCAATTTGCACCCAAAGAGTCGAGTGAGCCGAGAGAGTATCTGGACTAGCACCGAGAAGTGAGAGTGAGTGAGAGGCAGCCCAAAGTCGACCTTATACGCAAAGGTACCCAAAGAGACCCCAAAACAGCCCAATCGAAAGAGACGCTTCATCATCATCAAACCCAACGGCGTACGAAAGCCTACCTGCACTTCTGTCTGCCTAATGTCAAGAGTTGCAGAAGGGAAAAGAGTGCAATTAAATGACGGCGCGCCCTTTTCCGATCTGATCTAGCGGCGCATTGGCTTCGCGTCACCCCATTGCCTGAGCATGCGTCTTGCTGCTGTGGGCATCTCTTCATCTTCTTTTTTCTGCTGCCCGTGTGGATCTGCAAATTCCGTGCGCCGTGTGCTACGATACGCCGTAAATTTAGATGGGGGGGGTTTACGGATAGGTCCCCTCCAACATTGATGGTTTTTGTCTGATTTTCTCTTCGGGTATTTCTTAGGAGTCGGCAAACTGGGTTCCATGTACCGGGGGTGGAACCTCAAATGCAACGATGATGATGAGCATGGCAAGGCAGCCAACAAGGCATTCCTGTTTACCTGGCTACATGATACACAGGATACCTGTTTTCAAACCCATTGGTGTCCGAGTATCAAGTATCTGACCCCCTCGATGTGAATTCGGTTCTCACTCGCCTCCCGTGTGAGTTGGATCGTCAGGTTGAACTCTGAAGACATGCAATGCCGTACGGCGCGCGGGGGTTTGATGCGGGCGTGACAGACAGACAAAGGCCACTGCTCACTGAGTGATCAATTCAGTTCCGGTCCATGAACCCGCTCAACGCAAACGGGTTGCCGTGATCCATGGCATGACCAACTGTTCCCCTCCCCCTCCCCATCTTCACAACCCACGGTTCGCCGGGCTGCCTCTTCGTCCCTCCTCGACACCGGCAAGGACCCGAGATGCCCCACGCAAGGTGTCCCCCGGATGACGAACGGCGTTCTGGAATACCCCGAGCGGTGGTTTGTGAATGGAGGGGGATACGGGCTTGCATGAGAGAGATGCCCCCTTTTGCCGGGGATTACCCCGGGAGCCATCTGACGTTTGAACTTACCGCATGGCAGAAGAAAAAAGAAAAATGGAAAGGAAATCGTAGCATACTGGCGCGCGAGCAGAAAATTTTCTGGTCTGAGGGACGAAGGGAGGTCCAGGATTTTTCTTGGTGCGGAATGTGTCAATGGGGGTGAAAGGAGGGGGAGGGGCAATGAATGGCTTGTGTCTCTCTATCTGTACGCAGGCACGCACTCCAACGGCACTCCCATGAGTCCCATCCAGACAGGCACACCTTAGACAGTTTGCTCGCCAAAATACCTAGAGACTTTGAGAAGCCGGCACGTCCTCGACGACGACCATTCTCGAACTCGACTAGCCGGCTAGTGTTGCAGTAGGGACTTTGAATGACAGTCATGGCGCCAATAGTCACATTGGGGCGGTAGTCGCAAAGGTTAAGGCAATGATGTATGAGCCATCCAGGCCAGGCTAGGTAGTCTACCTACCCCAGTCCCAGCCAGGGTCAGGAAAGGTGAGGTATCGCCCATAGGTCGAGATCTCATCTGGTGATGGACACGGGGGCTTTGGGGTTTGCATGGGGGGACGAAAGTGTAAGGGAGCCAATGCTTCGGTTATGAGGCTCGAACCCCCTCCATCCTCCGTCTGGTGTACGCCACCAAAAAGGTATTTGAGTGAATCGGAAGAGGAACCGCAGGCACTGACCACCGAGAGGTGAATTTCCCGCCCTCGTCCGTCACCGATTCCGAGCTTCCGTTCGGGTTTGGGCGCTTGTGTGTAGTAAGGGGCGTAGAGTGTGAAGTTGATGTGAGACTGAGAGGAGAGGAATCTCACTGAGAAGACTACGTGAGATGAGACTGAGCGGTGACGACCGCTGATCTGACGGGTGAAACGAGAAAACGGTCTGTGCCACGGAAAACGTGCCCACCAAACCTTCTTTTTTTTCACTTTTCTTGAACCATTGCGCTTCTAGACTCTTTTTCTTCGGACTTTCTTGAGACTTTTCAAACCCCCGAATTGCAAAGGAAAAAGAGGGTGACATTGTAAACTCCAAAAGTTGAACACGGGACTCCGAACCAACACCGCAATCGCCGGTGCCCCTTGTTCCCTTGCTCCCCTCTTACAGCAATGGGGTAAGGTATGGATATGTCATGTCTTCCAGGGGGTCGGGTGACGGCCACATGGGAAAAAGGCGTATCTCAAAGAGACAGACACACGAGGGGTGTGGTGGTGGGACAAGCTACACGCAACATCGCACATCCGCATCTCACCTATCCGAGACCATCGCTGGCTTTTGTTTTTGCCCTCCTGCCCTTCCCATGCTGCACGGTAACATGCCATGGCATGAACCAGGAAACGTGAGGAGCGGAGATGCAGATGCAGTCAAACAGGGCTGCTTGATGATGGGGCACCACCTTACTGGATAACGAGCCGTTGGTCCATGACTTGAAAGAGAAGAAGGGCGAGCTGCCAACTCCCAATCAACACCTTTCCTCGATTTGCTCCCAATGATTTTTCCGAGATCAGTCGACGTTACATTGTCGTCGTATCTCCCCAATCCCCAGTGCCCATGTCACTACTCACTCGCCTCCCATCGACGCCATCCGCGAGCCATCGCCCATCCTGCAGATACACTCGCAGGCCCCTCTGCATCTCCCAACTCTCACGCTTTTCTCACCTGTCAGCCGCGGACACACAATTCTCTAATCAAATCACTCATTCTCAGCCCAAGCCAAGATTTTTATTTCCCGCCATAGAAATGGGTTCAAGCCTTATGTGCACAACACAAGTGTGAAAACTGAAGATGCAGAATACAGCCACGTAAACGCCTTCTGTATGTAAGTAAGGTTGGGTGATGTAGCATAAGTGCGAGAATGAGAAGAAGGGGAAGCACAGCGCAGCGCCGGCACCGCAGTACCGCAGTACCGCATGGGTTTCTGTATCCTGCACGGATCGACCGTTGTGTAAGGTCATTCTAAAATCAGACCGACGGTTCAAAAACTTTAGGTGTGTGATGTGTTGTGCGTTTCCTCCCAAACCGCTTGTATCCGCGCAATCCCCAACGTCTCACGCAGCTCCCTCTCACACACGCCTGAAGCTCGCTCTCGTGTCGTGGCCCCGTCAATCCCGCCTCGTATATTTATTTCTCTTCTTGTAGAACTCCAAAAACCACGCTGCTCATATGCTGTGCTCATGATACCTCGGAAAATATGCCAATGGCTGAGCCCAACATGCCACTCGGTGAGGATGACAAGGCAAAGGCAAGGCAAAAGCACAACAAGCACCTGTGAAAGAAAGACCCGAAAGCTGCACGACATCACCCAGCCCACGCAGCTGCCCGCGTCAAACAGGCCAGACCGTCAGCCCAGTTTCCACTCAAGCCCCAGCTCTGACATGGGAACGTTTCGGTATCATGATGATGATGATGATGTATTTGCTCCTTTGCTAGTGACAATTTTGCCCGCAGTGTGACGAAAGCGCGATGTGACGATGATCGTAGAAAGTCACATATCATCATACTCATCTCTCATAGATAGGGCTAATCTCACGCACACAGACACCCACCCACCATTCTCTCGCTGCTTCTGCGACTTCAAGTTGGGAGGCCAAGACGCAAAGCTCAAACTCACAAGTCGCAACAAGGAGGTCAATCCTTTCTCTGTGCCGTTCCCAGGACGCTAAGGCAGTGACGATGTTTGACCGCTCAGATGGTTCCCCAATACTTTTTGACAAGAAACCTCCTTCTTCGGGGCCTTGTCCTTGTACTCGGTATCATCGCGCGAGAAAAGATGCATGTCAGATGGGTGAAAAAAGTGAGGGGTCGAACGGAGACGGAGACGATGAGGGAGGGGGACGGAAAGCCAAGCCAGCAGGGCTAAAATAAGTGTAAGAAGGGGGAAAGTTCTGATTGATTTTATCGTTATCTTGTAATAGCAGCTAACTATTATATACCCGTGGCTTTGGGACGTCAGGTCCCCTCTGTACGTTTCCTTTGATTCCGTACCTGGTGTTTCCCGTTCCTGTATTCGCATCAAACAAAAAATGAAAAAAGTGTACAAACTTGGTGGACGAGATACCCCGTCGTTGTCGTGATGATGGTATGTTTCCTCGTCCCGGCCGTCCTCGCATGCCATTGCCATACCATACCATGCCTTGCCCCGCCCCCATCCCCTACCTCTTATCCCAGTGGACACGATATGAACGCCGATTAATCATGCAAAGTAGAACGCCATTGCCAGCCGTTTATACGAGGCAGAAGACGCGCCATTTTTTCCCAACCACCGACTCTCCCATTTCTCTCTTCTTGATACTGATTGCCATTTGATGTACTAGCAGCCGTCGGTGAGCTAGTCAGAGTTCTTTTCCGCCCGTCTAGTTTCCTCCGCCGGCCCATGAGTTCCGCCTTCTAGCCAAAGATTTTGAGGAATCCCCAAATACCAGCCCCGCTGAGGACCGGGATCGTCAAGTTATCGTCCCAACCGAAAATGTCCACCACCTCACTGGCGGCCGCCACAAATCCAGACCACAGACCCATGACTCCGAGCGCTAGCGGTCCGGTGATGGTAGCCTGAGCGTCCGAAAGCCCCACGGCGCTTGCGATGGTGCGGGGTAGATGCAGTGCTCCCGTGAACATGAAGGGATAGTTCTCGTCGCCGGGGAAAGGTCCCGTTCTCGGTGCGAGCCATCCCCAGAAGAAGTATGAAGAGGCGATGCCGACAAGGAATGCGGCTGTGGAGCCTGCAAGCGACTTGCCGCGGCGGATGCGCGGGGTATAAGCGCCGTACATGCGGCCAAAGGTGCTGGCGGCGGTATCGCACCAGCTGAGCAGGAGGATGGCCATCACACCGACGTCCTTGGGCATGAAGCGCATCGAGATCCACGCGCCAAGCAGGTAGAAGATGACTCCGTTCCATCCGGCGTATTCGCTCTCACGCATCAGCGCGCCGAGGACCGAGACGTAGAATCGGTTGAAGGAGGCGTAGTTGTGACGGAGGTAGTCGGCGGTCGTAATGGGCATCAGCGCAGCAAAGAGCCACGGTGCGACTGAGCTTGTCTGGATACCCGATACGTAGAGCCACAAAGTGAAGAACCCGATCGAAACGTGCAAGATCTTTCTGGGCACCTCGTGCTTGTGTACAAAGGTCCGCCACTTTCTGTGAATCGGTATCAAGCCCAGCGGACTCGGGCTTCGACTGAAGTCGCGCCAGCTCCATCCCGTGGGAGCAGCAGATGGAGGGGCCAGGTGGCCATTGGTCGTCGTAGCTTTGGGTTTGCCGTTCGCTTCGCCATTGGCGGTGACTTCTTCCGTGATCGGTTCGCTCGGGATGATGGGCGATTTGCCTCTCTTGCTCTGCGACTTGACCGTGGTCATGGGCGTGATTCGGCGGGACTCGATGGGTGATCGACTTCTCGTGCGCGATCTGCGCATTGTCGATGGCTCGTAGTCATCCTCTTCTGCCCGTTCCTCCAGCGGCTGGGGCGTTGTTCGCCGCTTCTTCGCCGCAGACCTCGTCACCGGGCCAAAGTAGTTATCTTGTGACGCTGCATCAATCTCTGAAGGTGTCGGGCTCGGGGAGATAACCCGCGGGGTGGAGGGTATGGCGCGGACGGACGACATGTTGTAAGGGAAGGGCGGGAGTGCAGGACAAACGACAGCTCCCGTAAAGAGGCGTTGAAAGGGGAACAAGAGTCGTCTCAGCGGCCAGAGTGAGGAGTGGAGATGTTTGTCTCTTCTAGATAAACGGGAGTCGTGGGGGTCCAAGGCGGGAGAGACGGAGGCGGAGTCGGCGCGGGCGTGGGTGTCGTAGATAGCAAAGGGTGCTGCCGGTGAACAGCGATTACCGGTATTCCTTTGATGGCTATGCTGCTGGGCCTGGGGTTGGAGGATGGAGGCTGGTTGGGCTATTGGATCCAGGGTGATGTTTGAGAATGCAGCAGAGAGCAACTCCGCTGCATGTTGAGCCGGGTTGGTACGGGGGGGAAGAAGACCACGGAGACATGCGGTCGGTCAGCAGGCAGCGTGACATGTGTTTAAGGACGAGGTGTTTGGACCGGATCGTCGGTGTCTTGTTGTGCTGCGAGTCTGCCGATTCCTGGGGACTGGGAGAGAGGATTTTTCGCGGGCCAAGGTACCGAGTACTTGCAGCGACGTATCTAAACGGTGTTTGGAGACCGGCCGCACTGTTGCTTTGGTAAGCCGTCTTATCTTTGCACTCGAACTTTGCAAGGTAGAACCGAAGAACCTTAGTAAGGCAGAGCCTCTCAAGGTTGAGGTACTCATTACCTCGTTGTAGTCATCGAGGTAGGTACGTTGGGTACATCTCTAGGAACCCTTGGGGATGTTGAAATGCAATTCCCGTTTCTCATTCATCCTTTTTCAACATGGAGATTAAACAATCAACCATTGCGGTTCTCATGAAATAGTAGCACAAGCCAAAGTCAAGGATCATCCAAAGACGGCTCTCAGGGTGAACCACAGTCTGAACAAACCGCAGCACAGTGTGCCGAGGGCCGAATGACCAGCGCCCCGAATCCCACTCCAAAATGTCCGGTGCACGCGACTACCCAGGAATGGCCGGCCTGTCGGGCGCACCGCTTCACTCCAAGTCCATTTGGCAGGGGGTTTTCTTAAGGGCACGATTCAATCTGCGGTGATTTTTTTTTTCTCGTTTCCTCCTCAGTGGGCTGCGCTACGCCGTTTACTGCTGCAAGCATGTGAAGCCATCTCCGGCCGTCCCGCCGGTTCCATGTCCTTCTCAGGCGTGGCTCCTCTTCTCTGCACGCGCCGGGTGGGTTCGACCGGTGGATGCACTTCATCCCGTCTCTCCGCTGCCGAGCTGCCTTATGTAGGCTGCCTGTACTCGGTACGTGCACAAAGTGTCAAAAGACATGCAATTCTGCGTCTTCCTTGTTTTCCAGACCGCTCAACTGCAAAAACGGGCTGAAAGTTTTGGGCGAGATGTCAAGGCGAGTGGCTGAGGACGGTTAGGGGTCAATCGGGATGATATCACTGGCTTTGTCCGTGGGCGGTCGGACAGAGACATGGCGCCAAGGAGGCCTCGAATGCTGTCACCGCCCCACGTGAGCACACCCACCCACCTGCCGGTCGATAAGAGTGAAGATAAGATAAGGCAACACTTGATGCCGTATCGATAACGATAACGAAAAAAGTTTCTGGAAATCGAGCCCCTCCAGCTCGGACGGCCTCATTGAAGTCGCATGCAGCGCAAATCCTCGGTGTGCCTGACATCCTCTCGATATTTGTCCCAGACCAATTGAACCATGGCGCCCGAAGAGAAGAAGAAGGACCCTAGGGCCTGGAGAGGCCTTACCCCTCCCTTGGCTGAGTACGATCCCGTGCCACTGCTTCTACTCGCGCATCCAACTAACATTCGCCTAGATGGATCCTCGACTTCGTGTCCAGCCAAGGCTTCCAGCGCATGACGCCCGTACAAGCAGCTTGTCTGCCACAGTTCCTCGGAAACAAGGATGTTGTAGTCGAGGTAAGGACAAAACCGACCATACTAGCAGCTTGGAATACTTACTATCCCAGGCTGTCACCGGCAGTGGTAAAACGCTCGCCTTCCTTCTCCCGATCGTCCAAAAGCTCATGCGCCTCTCCGAACCGACGAAGCGCGGCCATGTCTTCTCCATCATTGTCTCCCCGACCCGCGAACTTGCCATCCAGATCCATGCCGTTCTCCAGTCCCTCGCCGGCTTCCACCCCCCGTCCGCCGAGATACTGCCCCACCTCAAAGAAGACGAAAAGCGCCCCGACACGACGGTCCCGGTCATCGTTCCTCAGCTGCTCGTCGGCGGAGTGACCACCACACAGCAAGATCTCAGCTACTTCGTCAGACATGCACCCAATATCTTGGTCTCGACACCGGGAAGACTTGTTGAGCTTCTCGCGTCTCCGCATGTCCACTGCACATCTTCCACTTTCGAAATGCTGGTTCTCGACGAGGCGGACCGTCTGCTGGATATGGGTTTCAAGCAGGATATTCAGAGGATTCTGGGATATTTGCCGAAGCAGAGGAGAACAGGCTTGTTCAGCGCCTCGGTGTCGGAGGCAGTGTCACAGATTATCACCGTCGGTCTGAGAAACCCGGTCAAGATTGCCGTACGTGTCAAGAGCTTAAGGGATGGAGGAATTATTGAGGACCGGAAGACACCAATCAGTCTGCAAATGTCCTACCTCGTCACACCAGCAAGCCAGAAGCTCCCGGCACTTGGCAAGATTCTCGAGAACCTCAACCCGCGGCCACAGCGTAGCATTGTCTTCTTGTCGTCCTGCGCTGCCGTCGACTACTTCCAACACGTCCTTCCTACCATCATGCCGGAAGGCTTCACACTCGTACCCCTGCACGGAAAGCTACCCCCCAAGGCAAGAGAGAAGAGTTTCAACAAGTTTGTCAACTCGGTTTCGCCATCCGTATTGCTGTGCACAGATATTGCAGCGAGAGGTCTCGATATTCCACAAGTAGACTTTGTCTGCCAGGTTGATCCACCTTCAGATCCAAAGGTCTTCATCCACAGGAGTGGACGTGCCGGAAGAGCAGGCAGAAAGGGACTGTCAGTCGTCTTCCTGCAGCCCGGTCACGAGGAAGACTACATTCCCTTCCTCGAAGTCCGCAAGACGCCCATCTTCCCCCTGACGAAACCTGAGATCACCATCACCGAGGACGAAGCCAACGAGGCATCAGAAAAGTTCCGCGACGTCCTCCGCAGCGACCGCGCCTACCACGACAAGGCACAAAGGGCTTTCGTGAGCTGGGTGCGCAGCTACAACGCTCACCTCACGACCTCCATCTTCCGCGTCAAGGACCTCGACTGGGCCGACCTCGGAAAGGCCTGGGGTCTGCTCCGCTTACCGCGCATGCCCGAGACGAAGAATTGGGATGGAGACAAGTGGCTCGGCAACGAGGACTTTGACTGGGAAAACTTCACGTATAAGGACAAGACGAGGGAGGCCGCACGACTAGCGGCGGCGGAGGCGGAGCGGAACGGCGAGAAGGCCGCTGCCGCGGACGAGGTGAAGCGCAAGCGCAAGACCAACGAGGCGTGGAGCAAGCAGACGGAGAGGGACGATGTGAGGGTGGAACGCCGCGATAAGAGGAGACGCAAGAGGGAGGCCGAGCGGATGTCGACCATGACGGAAGAGGAGAAGATCAAGGCGATGGAGCTGAATGAGATGATTGCGGAGATTAGGAAAAAGAACCAAGCCAAGGCGGCGGCTGGCGGGAAGGACGATGAGTTTGAGGGCTTCGATGATTAAGAGCGTCTGTTGTAATACTATCTGTCCATGTCGTTGAATTCCTGTTTGGGGGATTTCCGGGTCACGGCTCAACGGGTGGAGGAAGTGGAGGCGATACCCCCCGGCGAACGCTTTTTTGGCCTCACACGATGCGATCTCACGAGACCCTCTCTTCCGTCCGCCCCATCCCGTCTCCGTCCTCGTCGCCAACCCTTTCGGCTTTGAGTTCTACGTTTCCACAGCGGAGACGAGGCCAAAAAAAATTCACACGATAATGACTCACTCCCCACATCTGCCCTTCTTGAACAGAAACAGTGAACAGGTCGTCATCAACAAGCACTAATACAAGCACAATAGCTCAGGGGTAGAGCGCTGGGCTCATAACCCAGAGGTCCCTGGATCGAAACCAGGTTGTGCTATGAAATCTTTTACTTTTTCGGGGTTATGAACTCCATATGTTCTAGGTACATGTACATGTCTTTCTTTTTCCATTCTCACCTATCTTCACTCCGTTCTTTAGAATCGCCGCTTGTATGGTTCAAATACAAAAGTACAATGACGAGCGAATGTGGGCCACGTCCTTCACATCTGGATCTGGCGGAGGAGATGGTCCACATCTCTAAAGGTATCTTGCACCTTGCTTCCCATAATTTAAGCATGATGGCCTCCCAAGTGGCATGTGATAAAGGCATCAGCAGGCCAACTCTGTCGAAAGGTAGGCTCGTCACTGTGATATCTGTTCATTTCCGTTTCGAAGGCAACGATCGTCCGAGATCTCCAGATGGAGCCAGGTGCTGGCCATTGTGGCTGCTCGTAATGAGGAGAGTGGTTTTGAGCGATCGTGTGACGTCGGTGTAATGGGATTATAGCTGTTTCGTCTCATATTAGCATGAATCTAGTCAGGGCATCGGGTTCCTGCTGTTCTTACCGTGCCTCTGCTTTTGTCCCTTGCGAATGCAAGTTTTCCAGAGGATAAAACATGTAGGTGGTAACCCTACAAACAGGGCTACAATACCAATAATGGCTTCGAGGGTCATCTGCATAGCTTGACTTGTGGTGTAAAAGTTCTGGTCTAAGAATGCGCGGGTCAAGGCAGCAGAAAAGCTTGTGCCAGACCAATGTCTGGATATGAAATGTATAGAGGTAGAAGAGTCAGAGACAGTGTGTGAAGGGCGTCGTCGAGCTCTCCCTACGGCGTCTTCTTATGTTCGAATTCATGGGTCATGATATCTTCGTTCCTCGATCTACATTTAAGGTAGAATGCAGCCCTGGCACTTTGACTGAGCTAGACTTTCAGACTCTGGTGCCGACGAATAGGACACCATAGTTCTTTGGAGTTTTGAGACTTTCGTATGTCGTCGGAGGGCTTGTGCGTACCAGGCGTATCCAACTACAAGGACCATGTTTTCAGACTTTGGTTTGGGCCAATGAGTTAATCTGAAGGAAATCTTCTTCAATAGACGTAAGGCTTTCCACTGCCACGATTTGGTCCATGTGTAACATGAAGCTGCGGGACCGTGTTCAGACATTGGCTCCAGCCAATTGCTTTAGATTCTTGTTACGGGGCCAAGTCCACGTCGGACTGTTGGTGCATATGCACAATGCGGACCGGTTGGCTTACACACACCAATGATGTGTTTTCAGACTTCGGCTCTGGCCAATGACACCTTGTTGAGGCTGCCAGCTTCAAGCGCTTTTCAGATATCGGCTTCCGCCAATTATGATGAGAGCCCCATGGCGCAGTCATCCCAAGCTGCATGACAAGACTCTGTCTCCCACGCCTTACTTCCCTTCTATAAATCACCTGCTCCATCCGCGATCAGATTTTCCAACAGAAATTACTGACAGTCAAGAGACCGCTATTTTTCAATATCAAATTAAGCAACACATCTCAGCTTGTTACCATAATGGCATCCTCTCGGAAGCGTTATTCGGACGAAGAGTGGCTCCAGCATCGAGCTGAAATCCAGCGCATGTTCCTGAACGAGTCAGCTTCTTTCAACGAGATCATACGAAAGCTCGAAGAAGACGGCTTTCCTGTAACGTAAGTTAACACGGTGGTTTCTCCATCTTCGATTTCTCACAACACACGTGTTAGGAAATCGCAGCTTGAGTACAAGTTGAAGGTCTGGGGTCTCCGTAGGAGAATCTCAAAGAACGATGCCAAGATCTTCTGGCATTTCGTCGACGACCACCTTGCCAAAAGGGAGCAACAGGGCAAACTCAGCCAAGTCATCCGTGATGGCAAAGTGATTGAGCCAGCCAAGGTCAGAAAGGAGAGAAGTCGATATCAAAGAACATCACTGGAGAAATTTCAGGCAGGTAATAAGAGACGCCACTCGCTTTGTTTGCCTTCTTTGCTAAACACTTCCCTGATTAGGCTCCGCCACTCCCCAGGCTCCTCCTGGGTTCAACATCACGATATGCACGCCAGCAACGAGCAACATGAAATTTGTTTGGCCAAGAAGCCTTCCCTGGCTGGAATTTCAGACCATGTTTCCAGAGTGTAGGATCATGCGTTGCTGATGTCTAATGTTCACTTCGCTAACATTCCTTACAGTACCTCGAGCTCATGGGGCATACATGAGAACTGGACTCGGCAGTGAGCTTCCAAGATTCCCCGCAAATCTCGACATCTTAAAGAGCTTGCATCTTCCGATCTCAAGTGACAGATCCAGCGTGGCTCGCCTGACTGCCCAACTTGCATCGACGATGCCCGAGGGGCAAGAGGGCAATAATGCTCGTCTGGCACAGGCCCTACTCCAAGCACCTACACAATTGACGACTAGCGAACATCTTAAACTTCTCATTTATCGGATTTCGAATAGCATGAAAGTGTTCGAAATCTCAGACGACCTCTCCTGTTGGGCTAGGACACTCGTCATGCTCGAAGATTCAGGCATAATGAGCTTGAAATTCTCGGTTGGGAAAACTGTAGGCCCTACACTCAGTGCATTTACTGAGAAGCTATTCCAGCGGGCATTTCTTATCATGTTCTATATGATGACTTATGGCGATCTACCTGGCTTTCTGTTTGAATTGGACTCCGATTGTTCGGATTTCGAGATAGACTGCACATTGAAAGATCGCTTGGAGCCCCTGAGAGCAAGAACGAAGAAGGTTGTGCTTTGGCTGCTGTCCTTGGGGCAAAGCCCAGACGTGTACATTGACCTTCCTGATCTTACATCTGATACACCACTGGGACTGGCTATTACGATAAATGAGCCGCACCTCGCGCTCCAGCTGCTAGATGCAGGTGCCGACCCACACTTTTCATACACAGGATTGAGCGAAGCTCTGTACGGTCAATGGATGCAATTTCCTGAGTTTGACCATGAAGGGAAAATGGCTGCAGTCTTCAAGCGGTTTGCAGATTGTGGTCTCTCTTTAAGCGAAGACAGAAATGGTAATTCGGCTTTGATGCTTGCCGTTAAGTACAGTAACCGAACCGCGGCAGACATGCTGATCCAATTTGGAGCCAACGTCTTGTGGAGTTGTCAGTACGGGCGGTTTTCCTACAGTCCTTCTATCAGAGAAGCCAGCGTACTCGGGTCCGCAGCCGGCTTAATGGATGAAACGAGGGCAATGGAATTCATCAAGCTTTTAACAGCGCACGCGCATTCGACATATCCATCAACACCGACATCGCAATTCTTCAAGTTGGACGTTGTCATGAATGCTTCCAAAAATGGTCACGTCTCGGTGCTCGAATACCTTCACCAGATTGGGTATGATACTGCTGGTGCTGAATACGAAGGATTCACTGCTTTGCACATTGCTGCATTTGCAGGGCGCTACCGTGCCTGTAAGTGGCTTCTCGATCACGGCTCTTTAGTAGACGGACCAAACCTGTCGAACGGGGCCCCGCCCCCTATCATCTTCGCAGCTTTGAAAGGCGACGAGGATGTCGTTAGACTTCTACATGAGGCAGGAGCCGATCTCAATACCAGCCTGTCCTTCGAGGCCAATGCGAATTCCTGGATGGACACGGACTGGATTTCCGAGGGTTCATTGCGGCGTGACTCTCGGATTGTTTGCCAATTAGGGGGTAACACCATCAACCCGGCAGGTGCTGCGATTCTGAATCCAAGTCGGGACAAAAAAGTGTGCACATACCTAGCAAAGCATGGTGCCAGGCTACCTGGATGGGCTGCATACTATGGCGCCTACGCGAATGACATCGACTTGGTCAAGGTTGCTGTGGCAGAATATTCTCAGGTCAACATTAATTGGCTCGACCAGAACAAGGAGAAGCTGCTGCAGACTTTGCTGTCCTTGGCTCTCAGAGACGAGGACCTTCGTCATCAACCTTGGATGCAAAAACAGGTAGTGGATCTTTGTTTCGAGGTTTTGAGCGCTGGTCCTGTTATGATGGGCGGTGAAGCTCAATTGGCAATGTTTCTGGACAGCTGGGATCTTGTCGAAGCTATCCTGCAAAGAGGTTCTGCCGGGAGTGTGCAGAAAAACAATGGCATGTCTTTGCTTGAGGCGGCGTTTCTCTCAGGATCCGATTCCATCATACAGCACGTGTTCGAGAGGATTCCCGAAGCATACGACGGATCCGCCCTTTGCGCTGCTGTTCTCCTCGCCTCAAATCGCAAATGTATGAAGTTTCTCCAGAGGCTTTTACAAAACCGTCAAAACTGGGATTGTCCGTCACTATTGGAAGGAACAGCCATCGGCCTAGCTGTCTTCAACGGTGAAATGCAAGCACTCAGAATACTCTGTGGCCAGATCGGGACGCCACCTGCAGCAATCAGCTCTGTGGGTGGAGTTGAGCACACTCTCTTTCAATGGACAAAAAGATTGAGAGATCTACCATTCTGGCATGACAAGCATACCGAAGTCACTGAGCCACTCTCGTTCATAGTTGAGTCATCGTGGCTCAAAGCGAAGCTCAGAGAACTCGGATACCGCTCTTGGGAACACTTGATTCAAGTTACCCTCAACATCGATAGCGAGGAGACTCTCGAAATTCGACTATTCTCGAGCGAGTCCGACATTCGACCAGAACAGCAAAAGGACAAGAGTATGTTATTTCTCGTCACGAGGGATGGACGTCTGAAATCCGTGGAAATTGAAGATTTCCATCAGAAGACTTACATGATCTGTGGGAGAGGAAGAAGCCCGTTGCAGCAGGCGGTTGAAGATGGAGACCTCACTAAAATCGATCTTCTTCTCGGCGCAGGCGCTGATATCAACGCACCGGCCGCAGACCAGGCCGGTGCCACGGCTCTACAGCTAGCGGCCATCACAGGACGAATTGGGATCGCAAAGATGTTGATAGATATGGGAGCTGACGTTGACGCGCCTCGTGCTCCCGAATCCGGACGAACTGCACTGGAAGGCGCGGCTGAGCATGGGAGGATAGATATGATACAGCTCCTCTTAAGTGAGGGAGCCGAAACAGGCGGGAAAGGTCGATTGCAATACATGCGAGCAATCAAATTTGCAGAGCGACAAGGGCATTTGGTTGCTGCGAACATGCTAAGAGAATACCGCGATTGGACCGTGGATGATGACGACTTGTGGAGTGAGTTGGAAGACTAACAGGAAGATTGGGACAAGCTCTTGGAAGAGTTCTTCTCCGATGATGATGACCAAATCGAGGTTGAAGATGAATAAGATAAACTGGAGGGCATTATGAGGCGATTCAAGCTCGGAAGGGGCTGCAAAAAGGGGTAGAAACAGGGTTCACAGATGGGATAGCAATGTTACTGGCGAGGAGGGGCTAGGCATGCTCAACTATCTTCGGTGGACTCTATGGCATAAGGCTGGCTTAGGTTCTTTGGTGTTTAGTGGAAAGCAGTCGTTTGATTTGGTGTGTTTTCTGCTGCCAGGGAATACGTAAATGGAACCTGTTGAAGCATATACGAGAAGAACCGCGCCTCGATAGTCTCTCTTTACCTGAGGGAGACAGTATTTCCAAAGCAGCCAGGGCAGCCTGACGATAACTAAGTGCTTATCGATACTCGACTCACTTCATCGAGTCCCTGCTGTAAAGTACACAGCAGTACTTGAAGCCTTCGAAATTGGTAACCTCGGGGACTCTTCAAGCCTGGCAGCTATTTTGACAAGTGTCGAGACCGTAGCCATTGGCAAATTCTCTTCCTCCCCAGCCAGTCACGTCGAGTCTAGAGCTACTTGTAACCACTGGCCAAATAGAACCGAAAGCTGTAAAGTAGGCTGCCTCGAGAAAACTGAGGGGCAGACCGGAGTACGTCACGAATGCCACAAAGCGAGATAACATGTCTAGGGTATGAGCATTATTATGCTCGGAACCGAGCATAATTACGGATATGACTCGTTGAAGGACAATCGCCTAGATGCGAAGGATCCAGACATATCAAATCAGACTGTTCAATAATCATGGCATACGACAAGTTAACGGCTGGCGTTCTGAACAACAATCACGATATGCAGAAACCGGAGCACATATCCCGGCGACCAACTACACGACCCAAGCATATATCTCGCAAGAGGAAACAAATCAGACGATCACGACAACTCACACGCATGCCAACCACTGCGCCATCATAAACCAACGCAGCTCAAAAGTCTAGACCTCACTTAACCTCACGGACAACATCCCGCTCTCCATCGGAGGCTCCCGCCAATACTTCGGCAGTTAAACCCCACAACCTTTCACCCCCAAAACAGTAATTCTGCACATCACACATCCATAGACTAAGGCAAGGTGATCAATACTCGCTCTAACTATCCAGGTAAAACCAAAAAACCTTTTAACTTACATGCATCCTCTCGCCGATCACATCTCAATCCAGACCAGATGCAGTCTGCAACTCACCCTCTAGTTACTCCGCCTTGGGGAAATCTCTCTCTGGCCTTCCCAATCGGGATCCAAAGAAATACTGTGTACCTGTGACGTTCAAACTTGCTCAGCCGACGCAGCGAATGACAAAAGAGAGGAAGGAAACAGCTCCGCAGTGGGATGATGGAGTATGTTTCCTCCTTTGCTACACTACTGTATCGCTTCTGTCCAACGTGACTCTGAGACAATGGCGGTGAAGCTGCAAGACAGAGAGACAACGGGGATTGCCCGCGAGGCGCGCCTAATACCCTCTCGCAATAGACTCAACCTTAATTTCACTCGTGCAGTCTGCAGAAGCGCGCCCCTCTTATTTCTTTCGCCCTCTTAAAAACTCCTCTTTCTCTGGCACGTCTCCATCCAAATCCATCTTGTCTCTTTTCGAAAAGACCTGCATGTAATTCAGGACAAAAGTGAGGTAAGTAATTATAGTGCTCAGTGGGGCACAGGCGGGTTCCAGGTCCAGGTAGTCCACCGTCGAACACGCCTGCAATATCTAGCTTGCATATGTGATGCCGGTAAATACCTGCAATGAGCAGGCGGTTGAGACAAGGCGGACGGTGGGAACTGGGAATAGAGAGGGCCGCTGTCAAAGCGGGAGGAAAAGCGGGTGGATTGAGACCGGTGACCTACCCGCCATCACATCACATCGCTTGCGGTCTCTCGCGTATTACAAAGTACTCCGTAGACTCGCCTGTTGATGCCCATGGCCCTAACAGGACGATCTGCCGAATATAGCTTCACAGCGCATCCACTCTCGTCTCCAGTATCATCAGTCGCCCGCCACTTGACTGGTATTCTTGTTTTGAGTTCATGGAGGCGGGTCTATAGTATAAACCGGCCAGCTTATTAAGTCATGGGCAGCAAGGCAGTAAAAAAGCCGTGGGCAATGGGCATTGGCATATACCCTCAATCAATCCCACGGCGGCAGATTGACGCATCCCCCATGCCTCAGCTCGCGTGGTCGGCTGGGCCTTTATTCACTTCCTTGTCTTGGCAATTCTTGTGTGCCATCCCACTGCCACTGCAACCCCAGGACCAGCCAGCCCTGGGGAGGGGGAGGGGAGAACTGGGTGAACTGCCCGCCACTTTTCTGCCCATGGGTTGCAACAGTCGCTGTGCTGGTGGATCTTGAACCTCCAAGGCACGATGCGGTTTATTACTACATGTTCAATAAGATCTTGACAATGCTTAATCGCGTCGTCTGTTTGACAGAGTGACGAGATAACGAAAGACGGTGTGACGGGCGAGGTTGCACTGTCGCCGACACGTGCTATTACCCCGCGGCCCGCTGACACTTGGTGAACCCCCAGAGACCATCGCGAACGAGAGGGCGGGTGTTGCGTCTACTGCAACCACTCAGCGGAGTACTCGCCGGGGGGCCCTATATCTCACATATGTCACTGATATGCTATCGGAAGCAGCGTCGATGGAGCCCGAGGAGTACTGGGAGAACATAATGCCGCGCTTATTGAACCGGGCACTGGCCGAGGTACGTCTGTACGGAGGGAGCGTGTCCAAGGACAACCGAACCGGTGACAAACGCGATGAGGGTATCGTTTGTGGTCCGCGTACAGCGTCGCCACGCCGACGCGTCGAACCAACGCTTTGCGCCTGCAATGGTGCGTGCTGCAATTGTTGATAGCGCTTAGTGGAGCAAAACATTTGCTTGACTGATACGGAGCATTTGTGGCACCGACCTGGAAAAGGGTTCTGGCAGTGCTGACGGAGAGAGGCACTGTTCACAGGAGAGACATGGGGCCAACCCAAGAAGCTGGGTTGGCGGAGTCTCGAGCTCATCGAAACCCGAAGAGCCTTGACAGGGTCGCCCGGTGCCGGTGGTTAGAGCTGGTCATAGCTGATTTTTTTTTTTTTTTTTTTTTTTTTTTTTTTGGATGAGCAAGCATTGACAAGCATCGCGCACTCGGTGGCCTCGGAGAGGCTTTCTTGCGTTTCCCACCATGGAAGAGGGGGACCGGATGATTTGCTCTCGGACGATTGCTTGCCGGGGCAATCGAGATGGGGTGACACTCGTTTGCAACGTGCAGATAGTCGAACAGGTCCTTGGCCCGATTTCCTAGGGTTAAAGGGGGCCAATATGTGCCAGTTGTATTACTGAAGGGGTTTGCGGCGGCATAGTACGATGGTGATGCCAAAGATTCCGGAGGACGGACGGCATGATGGTGTCAGGCCCCCGGACGAGCGTCATTGGTCAATGCCCAGACCCTGGAGTGGGGGTTCATCCTCGAAGACCAGCCGGTTCGCAAAATAACAAGGTCGTTGATTATAATGGATTATGCCTTTTCATAGGCCTCCAAGGCATGTCCTGGTGGTGCCCGAACGGTGAACCCATCATCCTTATCCAGGCCGCGCGGGTTAAGAGAGCAAACGCGAGAGAACGTTGAATTGTCTATACATTGCTCCCCCATGGCACGGACAGTGTGACTTGTGCATCGTGTTAGTCATGATTCTTTGTGGCCTAGCAACGACATCGCATGGCGGTGCAAGCCGCGGAACTCCGGATCTGCAAGCCGGGCACGGCGGCCAGGACACACTTGAGATGTGACGGCCAAGAGATGGTATGAGCGATGGGAGGGTCACTAAGGTTATTAGTGAGGTTATCTGCCTTTCTCCGTTGCAGATCGCAGACAGTTTGCCAAATGATCCATTCTTTTTCGCAGACATCGCGATGAACTCGTATCTTCTTGTCTGAATACTGCTGGATCAGGCCTACGTGGGCCAGATACGCGTGGTAGACTGATTCGGCCAAGCAAAGATGACTGCCGAAGAGACGCAGCCCAAAGATCAACCGAACTATAAGTCACTGTTCTCCATCGGTGCTGTATGTTGCCTGTCGGTGCTTGACTCGTAAAATCGCAGCTGGAAGACATCCGGACCAGTGACTCGGGAGCCACAGTACCTAAATAGGATCGCTAGAGATGCGGGTTCCAACGCTCTGGGCCCGCATGTCGTGGAATATGTATCAGTACGGAGTACAGATCCTCACTACTCAGGATCATACAGGCGTAGCCGTGTGCGATTACCTGTGCTCCGTTTTTCGATTCCGTGGAGTCGCACTGGCGTGGTGACTTATTCCCAAAGTTGGGCGTTGGGCATTGAGATCAGCAGTACAGAGCTGCTCTACCGCGAGTCACCAACAAACGATCCAGTACGGCTTGTCCGAGCCTCCCCTCAAGACCGGAAGCTGGAGAAAGAAGAAAAACAGAGCTGCAGACTGCATTTCACGATCCACTGGAAACTGGGTGTAACATGTTCAGCATGACGGTGCGATCAGCTGACCAGCCGCCTCTTCGTTGGATCGCCTTTGGTGATTATCTTGGTGTTGTTTGCTTATTCTCCTCACTATTGTTGGAGACGAGGGGCAGGCCCAATGGGTTTGGCACCGGAAAGACGCTGTAACACGACATCCGATCATGCCATCGGGTTTTGATACGTGCTTGCAACGGAGCTTTTCCTGAATGGAGATCCATTAGGGGTTGTAGACTGCAGCTCCATCTTGGCCTCGTCCCTGAAGTCGAAAGCGCGCTTGAGAATACGGCCGCTGTCTTCTTCATCCTCATTTTCTCGTTGTTGTTGCTAGGGCACAAGCCTTTGGTGCCGCAAACGGCGCCGTTAGCTCCCTTCAATTTGCCCTTCTAGACCGAGCCACGAAACGGCTAATGGAGACTGCTAAAATAAGCCATGGAAGACGCATCGGGACCGACAAGTTTGAAGCCTGCCCGCCGTGTACGCAGCAGGTAGTCCCGACGTGTATACTGTCGGTCGTCAGGTAGATAGTGTACTTCGTTCAAGGCGTTGATGGCGGACGTGTCCGCGTACTTTCAACTTTCAACTTTCAAGTATCGAGTGGCGTGCAGCCTTCGCCCCTTTGGTGCCTTGCGGCGGGCGTTTGCGAAAAGTCGACTCTATCTCCCACTTCTCATCGTACTGGCTTGACGCTCAAACATTGATGGCGTTTCGCGACTGTCTTCTTTACTGTGATCTGGGCCGGACCCAAGCTTCTATCGGCCAGGACGATTACGCAGCAGAAGAGGAGAGGGACTTTCATTTTGCAGCCAGATATGGAGTTCACAGGAGAGAGGTTGCCAAATGGCCTGGCAGGGACTCTGGTGGCTGTCGCCGCTGGCCCCTGTAACAATTTCCGATCCTGGTCGCTGGTCATTTAACAGTGTGATATTAAAGGAACCCCAGCGGGCGGGGACGCCGCGTCTTTGATTGTCGACAGTGTCATCGTATCCGCGAACTGCGAGTTTGCGACCGCAGAGCGTGTCTGCTTGTTGACTTTAAATCTTCTGCCTGGGATTGTGAACACACTTTTCTCGCGATGCTGGTACCGCATCATGGATCAACCTTCCAGGCGTCTTCTTTGAAGCGCGTCGTGACTAAACCCCCACCAACGTCGACTATCCCTGCAGCTGTCTCTCTAGTGTCAGACGTGTTGGCGAAGATGGGAGACATCATGCTAGTGCCGCCATCAGTGATCTGTAACTTTGGCAAACAAAGCAGACCCCATTCGAGACTCGTCTTTCGTCATGACCTTGGGAGAGCGCAGACGAACTATTCCTTCAAATGCAGTTGGAATAGGAGGTAGCCGTTGGGAGGTGTGGACTTTGCTACAAAAGTGCGTCAGGTTTGAAGCTTCCAACTGAACTGCACTTGTCATTGACCGAAAACCAGGGAAAAGGTTTGCTAAGCGACCCCGTTGCTGTGCGTCTGCGGGGTATTTCCGTCCCTTCTTTCGGCCTTTCCTTCGTGATGGGTGCCACGAGTATTTTAGATGGCCGACGAGGGTCGTGCTGTATTCCGAACTCCATTCAGCAGTCAAGGGTATGGAGGGTTAATTAGTGTCCCTTTTTGCCCTGGTTATGGGACTGTTGAGAACTTGAGACGTCACGACACGATGGGTATATCATTCAGATTTGTCGCATCCTCCACTCTCGTCCTTGCCTCGGTTGTTGAGAGGAGAACAGACAGAGTCTGGCGAAGAGCAAGCTCAACGGTGTGATCTATAAGCATCTCTTGCAGATGCGAGATGCGTGCCAACCTTCCGATGTTCTGTCCTCAAGCAGGGCCTGGTTTTCCATGTGCACACAACCCTGAAAAGGACAATCGATGTGTTCTTAAAGTCTTCTTCTGAGGCTTCGGTCTCAGGAACCAGAAGAGTCCTGCCAATCGTAGTCGGCAAAGCGGGTTACCATGACTGACAAGGGCTGGACGAGAAGGTGATTGGGCCGAATGGATTCACGACGGTGCTACAGTCTGCAGAGAAACAAGTGCAGATGCAGGTGCAGAGCAACAATGGGTGACCTGCGACTACAACGTATCCGTCAGACGTACGCAGTACGCCAGTCTCCTGTGCAATCTGACCGGGTGGTTTCCGTTTCTGTATCTGTCCCGTTACCCCCCTCTACGGGGTTGCGACCGAGGGTAACAAGCGTATTGGACTGATCTGAAGGCCGGGGCGGCACGGAGAATCTATCGGTAAGAGCCAACTGTGTCTTTGACACTGCTGTGATCGTCTTGGCCAAAGAGATGGGCCAAGTCGCAAAGCTGTATCCTCACCCCGTGGAGGTGGAAGCAAGTTGCCGTGGGGTAGAGAAGCAATTCTGGATTTTTGAGGCATCCGTGCCATGTAGAGAATTGATTGGGACTCGGACGTGCAATGGGTCACGTTGTTCGAGGGATAAGGTCCTTGATGCTCGGATGCGTCGTTTCAATTTCAGTCCCGTTCAATCCCATAATCCCAGAACGTCAATTTGACGGCCCGCGGCAAGCATCGGAGACGAGCGCGAAGGGACCAGGGAGATAACCGGTACCTTTGTCGCGGTGCTGAGCCTTCGAAGCTAGGCGAATGGTGAGAGAGGAGAGAATAAATGGGCAGAAGCGGGAAGACGGAGTGCAGAAGAGGCAACTCTGAGTCTCAGATCAGTGATGGGTGGTTGAACCCCAGTACTCCGTATGCCGGCTGAGGTTGGGGGTGGTGCTGGGGTTTGGCGTCCTGGCCTTGTCTATCGCCGCCTCGCTTGGTGATGTCGCCTCTTTTCGCTTCTGGGACTGATATCGGGCGGGATCCAGGAGGTTGGTTGCAGGAAATGACATCAACCGGGGGACGAGGATGCCGAAGCATGGGCCGTTGGCCATTGCGTCGATACTCAGCACAGAGTCGGGGACGCAGTACGGAGTAGGGATGGTAAACGGGTCAACCGCATGCTGAGCAGGGCAAAGCAGTGACATGGCGATGACGGCAAAGAGGGCAGCCGAACTCCGACAATCTAGAAAGCTTGGTGCACTAGGCCTCGGGGCCGGACACTGCGAGGTTGGACTCTGGAGGCTGGAGCTCGAGGCTCACATCGAGGGGAAACGCTCCCTGCATGGACGCTGGGGGCAAGGGAAGAGAAGGCAACGATGCGCGTATGGCGGCTGTGAAAGCTGTCGTCCCGTTTCTTTTTGTCTCGCCATGCTGCGTTGGCCGCGGCCGAAGGGTGCAGGCAAGCTATGAAGCCAAAGCAGGGCGACTCATCTTTCGTCACATGGTGCGGTTGTGGTGAGTCTTTCCTTACTTTGTGAGGCTCTCTCGGCTGGTAATTGGGTCGGCTTGGTCTCGTCTCAAGTCGATCAAGTCCCGTCTCCGTTCCGTGCAGTGGTTGTCTGTAATTCGGATCCGGGATCAGACTGAGCCGCGATAGAGAGCAGCGAGAGCAGAGAATGACTGAAATCAAGGTTGAAGCAACAAGACGGGCATCAATGCTGGGCCGCACAAATCGGCCATCGTGAATGCC